TTGAAATTGACCTTTGACCTACTTTTCACCATGAACTGAATTTTGCAAATTTTGCTTCCCTTTTATCTCCAAAACTGGCTGAGATAGGTCCATAGTTACTATTGAAGTTGAATAGGAAGTCATATACTGGCAATTTACTGTGACCTTGAAATTGACCCTTGACCTACCTTACGAAGAACTTAAATTTGATTGTACCATATATTTTTTTTGCATTAGTTTAAAAATTCTTGTTGATTGCATTTTTACAGCTTGTCAAGCACAAAACTGGTGGCTGTGTCCCTTATTTTGTGTATGTTGGGGTCTATACGAATGCGCTTGCTCCAGCTGGTGGTACAATATTCGGAGGCGGTATCGCCTCTCTGATCCTCTAGTTTACCAAGATTTGAGGACACAAATTCATGTGCCTTTTTTGACTTATTTCTATTTTAATTTTTTCAAGCATTCATGAAAGGTGAATCTTAGTGTTTAATACCAAGTTTTGAAGTTTGATGAATGTGACTGCATTTTTTTTTTCAAATAAAAATGAGACATTATTCAACATAACAATATTTGATCATGCCCCTTTCATTCATTAACTTTTGACTTATCTTTAGTTGTATGTGAGAATGATGCTGGCAGTAAATCAGTTGTGACAGAAGGTGTCAAGGAGAAAGAACCCTGTGCTCAGTTTTTGAACAATAATAAACAAACAGCAAGGAAAGGTTAGCAAGACAAATTATCCAAATAATCTTCTTGCATATAAATGTTTCAAAAGTTTTTAAGTTGAATATACATGTAGACAAATGGATTTAAGTTTAAATTTTCAGCTGAACTGAAAAAAATCTCAAATAGTGATTTAATTGCACATTTTATTGTTAAAAATCTACTCTTTTATATACCAAGCATTAAGGACATAAATATATACATGTACCTTTCATGTTTGACTCATTTTTAGTTGAATGTGATAATGTTGCTGGCATGGAATCAGTGGCGACAGAAGGTGTCAAGGAGAAAGAGAACTGTGCTCAGTTTTTGAACAACAAGGAAGAAACGGCAAGGCAAGGTTAGCAACCCAAATGTCTGAACCAAATTTTGTACAAATAATTGTTACAAATTAATTAATAATAAAATTTATAAGTAGTCTACAGCTAAACAAAATGTACCCATTTGATTTTTTGGTTCTTAAGCAGACAAGGATTTGTGCATTTTATTGTTTAAAATATAGTCTTTTGTATACCAAGACTTTAGGACATAAATACATGTACCTTTCATTTTTGACTTATCTTTAGTTGTATGTGACAATGTTGCTGGCATGGAATCAGTTGTGGCAGAAGGTGTCAAGGAGAAAGAGAACTGGGCCCAGTTTTTGAACAACAAGGAACAAACAGCAAGGAAAGGTTAGCAAGACAAATTATCCAACTAATCTTTGTGCATATTATTGCTTCAAAAATTTATAAGTTGAATACATAAAGATAAATGTGATTTAATTGCACATTTAATTGTTAAAAATCTACTCTTTTATATACCAAGCATTTAGGACATAAATACATGTACCTTTATTTTGACTCATTTTTAGTTGTATTTGATGATATTGCTGGCATGGAATCGGTGGTGACAGAAGGTGTCAAGGAGAAAGAGAACTGTGCTCAGTTTTTGAACAATAAGGAACAAACGGCCAGGCAAGGTTAGCAACGCAAATGATTCAACCAAATTTTGTACAAATAATTGTTACAAATTAATACGTTGTCTACATCTAAATGAAATGTACCCATTTGATTTTTTGGTTCTTTTAAAAGCAGACAAGGATTTGTGCATTTTGTTGTTTAAAATATAGTCTTTTGTATACCAAGACTTTAGGACATAAATACATGTACCTTTCATTTTTGACTTATCTTAAGTTGTATGTGACAATGTTGCTGGCATGGAATCAGTTGTGACAGAAGGTGTCAAGGAGAAAGAGAACTGGGCCCAGTTTTGTACAAATAATTGTTACAAATTAACAAGTTGTCTATAGCTAAATAAAATGTACCCATTTGAATTTAAGGTTCTTAAGCAGAAAAGGATTTGTGCATTTTATTGTTTAGAATATAGTTTTTGTATACCAAGACTTTAGGACATACCGGTAAATACATGTACCTTCATGTTTTACTCATTTTTAGTTGAATGTGATAATGTTGCTGGCATGGAATCAGTGGTGACAGAAGGTGTCAAGGAGAAAGAGAACTGGGCCCAGTTTTTTAACAACAAGGAACAAACAGCAAGGAAAGGTTAGCAAGACAAATTATCCAACTAATCTTTGTGCATATTATTGCTTCAAAAATTTATAAGTTGAATACATATAAAGAAATGTAAGATACATGTTTCAGAGATGCAAATTCATTACAAAATTATGTACAAAAAATGAATAAATATTATAATAATAATAATAAGTTGTCTGCAGCTAATGAAACAGACCCTATTCAGTTTCATTTCTTAAGTGAAAAGGTACAAAATATTGCACATTTTATTGCTCACGGTAATGACTCCATCTTTTCAATGGGGAAAATTGTAAATCTATTTGATACCATTTTTTTAAGGCAGATATTATTTTTTTAAAAAAATTGTAGTATTACAAAGCTAAAAACTTGGCTAGTTTGACAGGTTCTAGTACTGTTCTTTACAGTAAAAGCACCCACAAAGCTACACAAACGAATCATTGATGATTCAAAAATTACGTTATTAAAAAAGTTCCCCATTGGAATGATAGAGTCATAAGGTTACTGTAAATCTGGTCTTTTATATCTGGTCTTTTTAGGACACAAATATAATTGTACCTTTTTGGATAGTTAATGATCGAGACAATAATTATAACATGCCCCTTTCATTTATTTTTAAAATTTATCTCCATTTAGAGGTGTGTGATGATGTTGCTACAGGTGGTGAATCAGGTGTCTTGGAGAAAGAGAACTGTGCCCAGCTTTTGAACCAAAAGGGACAAACTGCCAGCCATGGTAAATCTATAGCCTTTTAATTATAGATGGCCTTTAGGACATACATTTAAATATGTTCACATGCTTTATTAAGGATTGCTTGCTAAATATTTATCACTTTTTTCCAACTTTACTCCAGGCAGTGACTCTGACCAAACCAGCAGTGGCCAGGCTTCTTCCTCAGAGACACAGGAAATGCCTTGGACATCTTCTGGAGAAGGATGGCTACCTTGTCCCTCTTCTGGACCAGAGTGGTCACCTTTGAGAGAGCCACGGGGAAGGTTTAGCACTGACCCTGGAACCCATACCAGGCCTGACTACACAGAGCATGTGACCAAGGTACATGTACATGTATAAATATTTATCACTTTTTTCCAACTTTCTTATGTTTTTCCTTTTTTTCTGGAAACCGTAAGGCTTCTTTTTATAGGACTTCAGTGGTATACAATATTTTAAACTGAAATTAAGCAATAATAATAATATTAATTACTATACTTATTGTAACATAAGTGACTGAAGAATTTTTTTTGTACAAGCCAAATCTTAAACAGAATTCAGCAAAAAAAAAAAAAAAAATAGAATTCAGCATTAAAAAAAAAAAAAAAATAGAATTTGACCAGAAATTTTTTTATTTAGNTTTTTAGAGGGTGGAGCATACCCCCCCCCCCCCCCCCTTCGAATCACCAAGATTAAAATGGTTCTATCAACAATCACCAAGACTAATACCCTGGTCATGCTGGAGGTGGAATGAGCTAGAATAACATTGGAATGATAATTCTTTGTATATTCCTGGATATTTGAAATGCATTCTTACGTACTGCACTATAACTGCTTTATAATACAATTCTTACAGCATTCCACTAGCATTTAAAACATTCTGACCTTATTTGAAAGAAAACCAAAATGGCAAGATACTTCATATCTGGCCAAGATGTTCCAAATGTGTCTCAAATGAGCCAGAATTCAACTCGAATGCATCTCATACTTTTGTGCTACTTGCATCTAAACATAACCGTTAACTAGAAATGTGCCACCATTTATTCATGTTCCCATAAAACTTTGGCAACAATATGAATAAATATGAGTAAATGGTGACGCATCAGGCCCGTAGCCAGTAATTTCAAAAGGGGGGTTCTTTTTCGGAAAAAGTGGACCTTTCCCCATATATACTTCATGTACCTAGATCAAATTTTACCCAGAGTGGACCTTTTCCCAGCAAAAGGGGCGGTTCTTTCGAACCCCCTGAATCCCCCTGGCTACAGGCCTGCGCATAAATACCAGTTTCCAATATTAAACTTTGCTCACTTTCAGAGGAAATCTGGAGGTGACACTCATGAGAAGAGGTCCACGACAACACCCAGTAAAGATGATGATATTTCAGCCTAAGATGGAAGTCAGTTTCTTGCTGCACAATTTCCAAAAGTTTATTTAAATTAAGTATCCTCTCCAGAATTTTCCCATCAAGTTAAATTTTCCATTAAAAAAAAAAAACAATTTGAGAAAGAATCATGTCTTAATTTTGAACATTTTCAAGTGTGGATATGCTAATCATGCAGCTCCTTAGAGTAAAAACTAAAACAATAAGTATTCTAGACCATACAATTCCCCTGCAAAGCTGAATGGGTGTTGGGGGGTAAAACACTTAGAAGTCAATTGTCTGGGTAAAATTTGTTAAAACTGAAAATACTGGAAGTGTAAATAGCAATTTCTAAAAGCATATAGACCATATGAAAAATACAATCAAAACGGAGACTGAAAATCTTGAAATTTGGCATAATCCTGAAAACTTTCACCCATGCAATTAGTTCATCATGTGCATGTATAAATGAGTCTGTCTGTTTACTGTACCTGGGGATACTTGAATTAAAGGCAGGCAGTTATAATTTTTCTCAATATCACACGGATTATATTCATCATGTGACTAAACACCAGGGATTAAACTTTGTACCTGATACTTTCAGAATGTAATAACTTGGCGAATATGTATTTTATTAATATGATAAATTTAGTTTTGACCAAAAAAAAAAAAAGTTCATTGATGGAAATCCTTAGGAAAAAAATGGTAATTTTAATAAAATGTACATATCACATATCAGGTATTTTCAGCCTGCTCGATTTAGAAGCGGTTAATTTTGTCAGTCAAATTAACCTTTGAAAATATAACAGATCAGGCAAGTGCATGTAGTTTTAATTATGTCTTAACCAGTGGCTGTTAAATGGCAACAGAAAGCAAGGAATCAGAACTGTAACAAATAAGAATTGCAATTTCACATGCCATTGATTAAGCAGGTACAAAGAAATCCCCTGTGTATAAATTTACTGAATTTAAAAGTATATATTTCAAATATATATCATATTGCATATATTTAATCAAGAGAAAACACAAATATTCAAGAAGTTTGCCTATATATTCTTCTGATTGGTAATAATTTCTGGGCTATTCACTGGCTGATTCAGGTTTTTGCTTAATTTAGATTAGCAGCAACACATGGATTTGCGTGTGAGCTTATCCTACATTTTACAGCAAAGTTGGCCTGGTTATCTTGGATTTTATCTATAAAATAATATACATAAGGACAATTTTGTTCTAAAATGTAGGATGTGTTAAGACACTTTATTCGTAGTATGTTACCACTTCATGGGATAAGCATTACCACTTCATGATAAGAGACTTCATTGGTTAAAAACTAAGGACCTTCAGGCGACTTAGTGATATTTAAAATTACTACTTTATGGGACATAAGTTATAATAATTATAATCATGGAAATTAGTCTTTTTAGGATGCAATTAAAACTTGATCAAGGCAATTGTAGCATACAGTTATGTACCTTCACTGCTTTTTTTTTAACCCTAATATTAAATTATTTATTCATCTTATAATTCAAGAGCCTACTGATACTCTGACATGACCTTTCAGAAATCGTGGATCCACACCTACATACATGTATGCTCGTGTATTTTCAAGAGATACACCCAATAGTATACTCGCGTTTATACAAAAATCCTTTCAGTCACATGTTCGAAAATATAATTAAAGTGTACAGCTTACCTTTGTTGGATAATATATACAACACAAAAACATGATTTTTCAAAAACCGTTATCTTTCAAAACATACTTGGGTTTGCAATAGAGACTTTATCACCATTATCCCTTGAAGCCACAGGTAACATCTTATTTGAAGATAAAGTTGCATTCTATCTTATGAATTGGATTTGTCACTCAGTGAATTCATTGCATTTATCCTGTGAAGTGGTCATACACCATGAAGCATCTTAACACATGCAGTTATTGCTTATGTTGGGTTCTGTTGGTTATATATACTATTTTGGTCGAAAAGGTAGGGAAGGGACTATACTGCAGAAACAAAGGGAGGGAGGGACGCGCCTGGATCAGCCGTTGCAAGTGAACCCCCAAGTGTGATATTTACTGAATGGATTTAGATGAAGGTATACGTGAAGGTCAAATTTTACATATCCTAGTTATTAATTAAGGGACCGTTCACATGAAAAATCTACTTTCTAAAAATCTATTTGCTGTATCTTGTGATCACGGTCTGTGCCCTGAATACCCTGCGGCGTAATTATGGACAGCGCGAGCCAGTTACTTCCAAAGCTGTAATTAATTCTTGGCGCTGACAGTAATTACGCCGTGGGGTATTCAGGGCACAGACCGTGATCACAAGATACTGCAAATAGATTTTTAGAAAATAGATTTTTCATGTGAATGCAGCCTAAGTGACCACTTGTACTTAGCAGTCTGGACATGATATTATTGAGTGGACATTTGTACCGGCAGAGAACTTGGGACAAGATCGATAAATAAAAAGGAACTGAAATTTCACACTTTTCACACAAGCTGATCACTTTGCTGCAAGTGGACACTTGAATTAATAATTTTTTATTGATGGCACTGTGTGGTCCAGTATTTTAACAAGTTCATTCCTCTACATGAAGTTTTGTGTTATAGTATAATGCACTATACTTACAAGTTTATTTTATTTTCATACATTCTCACATGTAGAACAATAATCTGATCAAACTCAATTATTTTTCATCAAAGTAGGGTGTGATATATTTTAGATAACATTCCAATTTCCTTAATATGTAACTGTCAGTTTAATAGCACATGCTAAAATAATGAATAATTTTGATGAAAATTTTAAAACACTTGTATGAACTGTATGTCTATGGTCAGATCTCAGAACTATTTTAGCTGTGATTTCTTTGTATAATGTGATTCATATCTTACAGATTATTAAAATAATCTTTCTAACCAAAATATCCCTAATACCTGTGATTATATCTAGTTTTTTTATCATACTTTTGCTTATAAATTTTAATTCTCTTTGCCATATTGGTATACATTCTTATAATTGGTAGATGCTATTTATATCTTTTATATAAATTTATATCTATTTTACTATATCTATACATTAATATCTATTACATTATACTCTGTATATAAAATTATAATACACTGTTAGCATTAGCCAGTGGCACACAACACACAATGCCGGCAACTTCTTTGGAAGGCTGGTTACTGGTGAGGGTACAGTAAAAACTTGAAAATTTAGTCAGCCTTAAAAATCTTTTTGGAAGACAATTCTCCACCAACATAATTTTTATTTCTCTTTGAAAATGTTGTGAAACATAAAAATGGGCTTCTCGATAATTTTGAAAAGTTTGTCATGTAATATGGTCTTGTCAGATTAATGCATTTTAAAATATTATTAATTTTTAAGCGATTAATTTTTCAAGTTTTTATCATATATCTGAAGGGTTATGTGTTTGGGTCTGTCTGTCTGCAGTGGGTACAAAAAAGATCAAAAAAGCATCCGTGGCAATGACCATAATGACAATGACAGGGGTGCCAAAAGTACGACAAGACTCTCTAAAGACTTGGTTGCACTCACTTGCATCTAATGCATTAAAAGAGATGGTGATGATTATTCCTGCCTAATTATAACTTCTAGTACTCATTATGTCTTAGCTTTTAATGTTTCATTTCATTTTTTTAAATTATGTACACTGTTTGATTATGACTGCGTCACATGTAGCATGAATAAAATTTTGAAAATTGCTATTTTTTTTTAATATTAGTAATTATGATAAAAATATTAACTGATCTTAATAATAACATTTCTCAAATTTGCAGGGCTTTTTACCTTTTTTGAAGTATTTTTACTTTGAAATATTTTTTTATACGAACAACCGGTAAAATTAAGGTTTTTATCGTTTAAGTCTTTACTATTGATAGTTAAAGGCATATGAAATTTACTGACCCAAGTAATTAGCACACGCCCGGCTGTCATCTCGACTAAAACCATCTTTAGCATAATATAACACAATGCCCGTACTACATTGTGAAAAAAAAATTTAAAGAACTGAGAATTATATACAAAATCAACGAAGTGCCATGCACATGCCCCAAAGATTCTATGAAATCGTTTGCTTTTACTTCTTATTACTTGTGCACTGTTAAATACTGAGATGTATGTATTTTGAGTAAAATTGCTGACAGGAGGTGGTACATGTGCGACATGTATTGTAAGTTTATTTTTGCAACACGTACATTGTCTGCTTAAATATGACAGAACAATCAATTTTTTTCTCAGATACAACATTTTGTTTCCATGGCCGTCCCCTTTATCCGCATAAGAACTCACTTTCTTTGTCGAATTGGAGATAGTTGTGCAAAAGAATGAATTCGGTGTGCTTGTTTCACTTTCAGTTTCAGTGATGGAATCTGGTTGCAGCTGTATCAGATTTTCTCGAGAAATTCATCCACCTGTTGTATGTTGGTTACAGAGTTCACGTTCATGGTAACAAAAGACCTATTTCCAGATAAGTTTTCTATAGTTCGAAGTTTGAAGAAGTCACTTGTATCTTTAAACTCTCATTTGATCTAGTCTGTTCCGTTGCTTCCGTATTCCGTCTTTTAGGCTTCCTCGAACAGGAAGTTCACTCAAAACGAGGTCCCAGGGTCCGCGCACATGTAACGACGGCGACTGTCACCGCCGACTGTCCTCACAGTTATTCTTGGGTCGGCAAACGGACGCAAATCATATAATATGGTAGGTATACCAGCGGGGCATTTATGCCATCATTAATATTATCTGGGACGAGTTTGATCCATGACGTTGTTTTCTTTCTAATATAATAATAATAATCTTTGTTGATAGAAATGAAAGAATTCACCGATTCTTTCCATTTCTCACGTCACAGAGAAGTTTGCCATGAAGACTAATCTGATTATCATAGTATGTTTACTTCCTTTAGAGCTGAGGGGTGGTATGTAAATTATCTGTTGCTTATATCCAATTATAACTTCGAAGACTGCGAAAATGCGCACTGGATAAAATACAATGAAGATAAGAATTTGAGTTATCACTATCAAAACAGAATTATTTATAGTTGTAAAGCACTCCTTTCCTGTGAAAATGTGTAAGTTATTTCTGACCGTATTCACCTACATTATAGCTATCATAATGATCAAATCGTCCATCTAAAGTGCGATCTGAACGACCAATGCTGCATTTTCAGAAAGACAAAAAACAATGTTCATTATCATGTCTTATCATGCATGTATATATTCTATCAAAAAAGTATTATTTACTGGTGTAATATATAGCAGATATACAAGTTTTTATTCTTAAATTGTCTAAATTTTATGCTGGAAAAATTTGTCAAATACACAGGAAACATAAAAGAGTTATGTCACTTAGCTCTCTTTGTCATCAATTAAAGTGCAAGATAAGATAATGAATATTTGTTATTTTGTCTTTGCAGAATGCAGAGAAGCATCCTGCAGCTGATCAGTATGGCCAAAAGTTAGTCCAGCAGTCCAAATCCAGTCTAGTTAAACAATCGGGTCAATTAGATTCCCTTGCCATCTTCCATCAGTTGGTAACTTCATCCTTTGGTCCGTATGGGAAACTAAAAATGATCCAAAACTCACAAGGTGGTCATGTGACATTGACTTCAACATGTGGGAGGCTTTTGAAAGTGTTCTCCATCTCCTCTCCTGCAGTCAAGCTTATTATAGCAGCAGTGGACAGTCATTTGCAGAAATTTAGTGACGGAGGATTGTTTGCTGCAGGACTTGCATCAAGGCTCGTTCTTGGTGTAAGAAATCTGGACATGCACCCGCGTGTAATGGGTGATTTGTATAATCACTTCACAACACTGTGTGTGGAATTTTTAACGTCTTTCCAAACAACTTTAGATGTGGCCAGTATAGAATCCATGCTGGGGATGATTGGTGGCATTCTGGACTCTAAACCTGGCTGCTGCCTCATGCTAAGGGATAAAACCCACTTGGGTGCTTTGCTTTTGAAAGCATTTTTAGGCTGTGTTAATACTGATGACACATTGAGGAGTCATAGGGCCTTCTATCCTATTTCCTATGTGTGTCTAGAGGGCCGGCCAGTGCAGCAGAGTGAGTACATACCAGGGGTTCTGTACAGACTCTCAACAGTTCACAGGGTGACTCCATGCGATCAACCCCTCAGGCTGGCCTTGGTGACAATTTCGATGGTTGGAGACAGCGAGGAGTTTGTCTCAGCTGACTATCAAATGACATCGGATGTCATTCACCTGGATGCTGAGTCTTATATTGCTGGCCGAGATGAAAGACAAGATGCCGAAATTGACCCCATTGCAACTTCAGAACCAGAGGGTGGTTCACGCTCAGTGGTTGCACCCTGCAGATCCAGTGATGTTGTGATCAGTGCCCTGATGGGCTTAGCCAAGCAGTGGGTGGCTTCATCCATAGGACTTGTGGCCTGTCAAAAAGTAATAGACAGCAGGGTAGCACAGTATCTACATCAGCATGGAGTGATGGTCCTGGACAGACTTGGTCTCCAGACCACTTCTGCTTTACAAGAACTGACTGGAGCGACACCTGTTGGTAGTTTGCAAGGGTGGTGTGAGGAGTACAGTGGAAAGCTGGATGGGTTGGGGATTAAGGTACTCGGAATGCAGAAATACTTGCATATGTATAGATCAGCAAGTGGAGTCAGCTCAATTGTGCTGTGTAACAGGCAGGAGGAGTGTCTTGAAGAACTGAAATGGGCGTGTCAAGCTGTGATTGACACACTTCAGCTGGCACTGGCCACACCCATGGTCCTCCCAGGAGGTGGAGCATGGGAGCTTGCCATGGTGAACCACCTCAAGGATTACGTTAGACAGAACTATCGGATTATCAATCAAATTTTCAGCTGTTCCTCAGCCCATGTGTTCCAGGCACTGGACCAGTTTGTTACCAGTTTTAAGTTCAGTCTTCCGAAAGATGACCAGTGTACCAATACAGTGACCAACACTGGTCACTCTGTGGTGGACTTGGCCGCTATAAGAATTAGTGCTCTCAAAACTGCCAGTGATATAGCCAGAAGTGTGCTACAGATTAAAGGTTTAAGTTGAATGGCCACTGTGTAAGTGAACTGTTATGTTGGTGTTGGTACATAGGCAATTTCATTGAGCACGTTTTGGATGGAAGAGCAAAAGGCCAAAGACTCTTCATACAAAATTCCATACTTCGTTCAATTTTGGAGTCTGTAAAATACAAACTTGAAAGTATATAGAATGGTTGGAAAAACTGCTACAGACTGCAGTTATATACTTATGTAATATTATTAAGTAAGAAATGGTATTTGCGTAGCTTTTATCTTTTCCCTACTTTATTTTTTAGGCAGTGACTCTCCACACAGACCTGGGAGATTTAAAAGTTGAATTGTTCTGTGAACAGGTGCCTAAGACTTGTGAGGTAAGGGGTGCCCCTCTGATCAATCCCTAGTTTCAGTATCAGCCAAATTGAGGAAGGTACTGACAAAAACTCAGATTGGTCTACCAATGAATAATCATCGGAATTGAAAGCTTGCTAGTAAATATTTTTCACTAAAGAATTTCATCTGCTGTGCAAGTGTTTGTTTTTTTTTTTTACACACAGAAGTGGCTTTGAGGTAAAAGAAATTTAATATATATTTAATTTAATAGATATGCTAACACACGTTCATTTCCTATGCAGTAAAAAAAAAAAAAAATTTTACTTGGGACAAACATTATGAATTAAATACTTTTATTATTAGTGAACAATAAGATGTTTACTTCACATTTGTCAGTGCTTATGTGAGGTTACCTCACGTTATCATGATGATAATGATGAAATCAATTATTTATTTCAGAATTTCCTAGCCTTGTGTGCTAGCGACTACTACAATGGATCTGTGTTTCACAGAAATATCAAAGGATTTATGACTCAAACTGGGGACCCTACTGGAACAGGCAAGGGGGGAGACAGCATCTGGGGGAGGAAGTTTGAGGATGAATTCCATGAGAGTCTAAAGGTAATTTTATTAACAGAAACAGAATCTTTAAACAACAAAAAACTCCAGGATATTAACACTCCAAGTCCAGGGATCTTCCTGGGTCGAAATCTGGCTGGGCCATTTTGGCTGACTCAAAACAAAGAGGGCCATTTTAAAAAAAAGTGTTGAAGTCTCCCAGTATTTTAGTGTCTAACAAAACATTCTCATCAGAGCCTCATTCCCTGGTGAAGTTCTCTTGTTAGCCGCTGAAATATTGACATGTGACAATTTAATCTTTCAAGGTTTTGAAATGAATTTATACTGTGCATTATGAAAATCTGGTGTCTACTGACAAGTGAGGAACCAAGAATTATTTCCAAGAGATGTTTTAAAGTCACCTCTTTTTCTTCATTCAGCACAATGCTAGGGGTACCCTGTCTATGGCAAACAATGGCCCCAACACAAATGCCTCGCAGTTCTTCATTGCATATGGAAAACAGCCACATTTAGATATGAAGTATGCCGTCTTTGGAAGGTAGGTCCTTATAAAACATTCTTCATCTTTTTATTGCAATGCAGATAGCCAATGAGGAAACCTGTTAGGATGGTTTGCAGTCAGACTGTATTTTTGGAAGGAAGTTTTCATTTTTTTAAATTACATTATCTTTATTTGTTATATTTGTATTGCAATGCACATGCACAGTAAGGAACACATAGGGGGATCATACAGGCCAGTCACTTTGGTAATCTGCAGTTTTCTGTTGTATGAGGCAACTGACAATTTTTACTTCCACTGAAAGTCATACTCTCCTGCCTTGGAGACATTTTACAACTGTTTACATAAGATCTGGAAAAGTGGAATGATTTTAAAGACTTAAAAGTATCGTAATATGCACAAAATTACCACATGATAAACAAGTGTTTTTTTTTTAATTGCAGAGTGATAGATGGTTTTGATACCCTGGATGAAATAGAAAAACAACCTGTAGCGGAAAAGACATTCCGGCCATTAAATGACATTAAAATACAAACTGTGACAATACATGCCAATCCCCTAGCAGACTGAATGAATTTTAGACATATTATCAAAATGCCTTGGCTCTTAGAAGAGGTAACACTCTTTGGATTGAATTATGGAGACCAAAAGCAATACAACTGTCACATTGACAACTGCATTGATTGTTTTTCTCTCACTGTGTACAGAGCAGAAAACAATGGAGAGTCTCCACATTACTGTTTATAGTGCAGTCAGATGTTGATGATATTTTAATGGTTTGTGACAGAGTGTGACAAGTGGCAAGATGTAGATTAAGAAAGCAGTATGAAGGCCCAGGGGCTAGTTTAGCACCTGACATATAACTGAACATTGGGTCTTCAATGTTAAAACTTTTAGACCAAAGAACTAGTCTACTTCCATTCATGATATATCCAAAGTACTCTAGTAAACTTCAATTATATATTTGCCCGAAATGTTTATTTTAGTCACATATTCCTCATCATGAAATGGACACAATATTTGTATGATTCTAATTGGACTACTGCTGCCTTAACTTTGGCTAAAGTAGACTTAAAATTAAGGTTGCAATTTCCAGGCTGAAGTGCTTCTGTGAAACACTCCTGGTGTGAGACAGATTAGTCTCATTTCATTCTTGGCACAGCGAGTACTCCCCACCTTTAATGTAATTAACAGATTTAAAAGTAAATAAGGGGTAACATTTTTTATCTTTATTGCATAATTTTTAAAAATAAATGTTCGATAACTACTATTTCTTTGTTCATTCTTTAAAAGATAATAAAAAGCTAAAGAACCAGAAATTTGTTATCATAAATAAGAAACGGGTTTTATCAGTGTTAAAATTATATTTATTACAATTAAGAACTGAAAGACTTGGGATAGCTTTACCTACAGAGACAGTTTAAACTGTTACACTTCATTTTCATACCTACATGATATTTTTTCTTCACTGTAGTATCCTCTGTTCATATTAAAACCTAAAATTTCCTCAAACATATCACACAAAACAATATCATATTTTATGTAAATTGTCTGATAAAATCAAATTATGTGGCTTCTTTGCATGAAAGATCCAGTATGACCATGACATAGGTATTTTCGAAGCCGAATCTCCAGATTCTGCCTTCCATTGCTTGGAAGGTATCAAGCATTCAAACATATTCCGTTGCAAAACATTTACTGTAAGCTGTGCATTTGTTTTCTTATCTTCCTCTCAGAATCAACCATCCAAGCCACAAAAGAAAATGGGTCAGTTTTGTGTTGTAAACCAATATTCACTTCTAGTAAAATGAGCTTCAGATCTTTTGCCAGCCGTCTTCAAAAATAAATATTAAAACCTTACCACAATTCAAAGCAAGTCACTCATTTTGTAGACAAGATTGTCTCTAAGTTACACAATCTTGGAGTGCCTTAAAAGATGGATGTTATCCAACTTGTGTGTAACACAGTGTAACTGTAAAAATGTTATTATTACTTTTGGCGGGTAGGGGGATAAGTAAGACTTACAGAGTATCCCTGATTAAGATATGGGATGGTTGATAACCCTCCTGAATACGACTTCTTCCTGTATCAACCCACAGTAACATAGCTGCCAACCCAATTCAGTAACTTTTCATGGATGAAATTTTTCCTCTTTGATAAAAAAGTCTTTATAAGTAAAGCAAAAATTAAGTCACTGAATTTGGTGTTAGCAACTACAGACTGACAGCATTGGGAAGTCAAGTTTATCCTTTATGACCATTCTGTTTCCTTGAATGACGTGAGTTCCATCCATTTTTACTCCATTTTTGTGTTATCATACTGTAAATAACAACATTGTCATACATACAGGGTTGACAGCACCACATTTAGACAAACTAGGCTCCTCCATAATGTTCCTTTGCTCCATTAATTTGGTGGCATGACCTTAATCAGCTCTTGGTAGATCACTTTGATATGACACTGGTTTACCATCTTGATTGCTTTTGTAGAACTTGCATTTCTTGAGTTTTGGAAAAGTCAGTAGTAGTGTTTGCCTTGGTCCTTCTTGGTATTGAAGTATGCCCAACCGGAGTTGCGTTTGATATTTAATGGCAGGGGGGCTTGCCCTGGGGGACTGAAAAATAAAATCCAATATATTGATATTAGTCAAAACTGAAATTGATCCATTACTTATGCAACTATTTTCTTGATGACCATTTGATGAATGAAATAATATACAGGTCTTTCTTTTTTACTGCAGGAGCAAAAACCATAAAATTAAAGCTTGAAGGAAAATACACAAAAAAATTGGCTGTGACCCAAATTATTTTGTCCTACCTTTTGACAAAGCGTTCAAACAAATTATTGGATTCAAATTGTTACTGTATGCAGCAGATGTACTTTACTTATTGTGCCCAACTTACAGAACACGCTTTAACAAGAAACTTAGGAAAAAAAAAAACATTCATGAGGCAGCAAAATTAAAGCATGGCGAAGAGCATTATCACAGTGAAAGCATTGCATAAAAATGTAAAAAAAGTGTGTGTGTGTCAGAGAGCTTGAGAGAGAGGAAGAGAGAGAAAGAAATGAATTATGGGCTTGAAATAGTTCAGGTAAAAACAAGAGTTAAAATCTGAAGATGCAGTAATGTGGACAAACCTTTTAACCAAAAATTTTGCAGCAATATGTCAAATCATTTTGACGTGTCAGAAAAACTACACGTAGGGGGAATGGAAATTTTTGTCATCAAATTCAGCATAACGGACACTGACATCCACAAGCAATTGCTGTCATTTCTTCAGGAATAATGAATAAATCAAGATCCTCTTACCTTCACTGTTGCTGTCCCTCCTCCTGAGGGTCTGGGACTTAAAAGTCATTCAATGCCAAGAAAGTTTCACAAAACCATTATTCTACCTCAAACTCAATCTTGGTCTCATTTCCCAAATTAACTTATCTGAAAATCATTCTTAGCCAAAATGGACAGGAATTTCATTAAAGAATTTAAAGGGCTACTAGTTAAACCTAATTTATAGCCTGAAATAAAGTTCTTGCATCAGCTTCTTATTGCTTTGTCTGTTTTATGCTCACAGCAGTGACAGTAATCTATTTAGGTTTGTCATGAGGGATCGTAGGTAGCCAAGTGAAGGTAAGAAGATCTGGATTTCTTCAGATTGATTTTGCACTTTTCCCCCTATGTTAAGACTCGTAATCTCAATGTGTTATTTCACCCAAGTCATTTTGAATGTCATGCAAGCATCACAGCATGTCACAATATAAGAGCCAGGTGACATTCAGGGCAACATGTCAACCTCAGTACAAATGACTTTAAAGCAAAAAGTGCTTGTTAAGCATTAATCCCAGAAAATGGATTGATACCATGTTAATAACAGGATGACATGGATTATATACTCAAAATATCTGTTTAGTCGAGTTGTTGACTGTGGCCCATTAGAAGCAGGTGGATTATGTGGGATAATTAAACAGAATACCAAACCAAAATAGTTTAGAAAAAGAAACGATCCAAGGAGACAGCTAGAGTATCTGCCTCCACAGATGGTGAGTGTCTGAAAAATAATTCCATCTTGCAAGAAAATCTGAATATTTCAACAGTTTGAGACTAATTTTATTGGTGTATTTAAAAAAAAAGACAAAAAAATCAAATGCAACTTTACTGAAACAAACCAAATGTTAATTTTGAATAAAAGAGAGCTCTTCACATAAATTATATGGACTGCTTTTCCATAATTTTGAACAGAATAATTCAGAACAACTTTTCTTTTAGGATGGCTATAGATAATTACCAGCATGGCTATAGATAATTACCAGCATGGCAATAGATAATTACCAGCAGGCCCCAGTTTCACGAAAGACTTGAGTCAGTTCCCTGGCTACGGATGTGTGCATGTGTCCATGAGAGCTTTGTAACACTGTTTCTGGGTGCCTTCTCAGGAAGACATTATCTGGTAAGATGTGTGCATGTGGCCATGTAACGTTATTAACAAAGATGATAGCCACTGGAACTGACTTCAGTTTTTATTGTGAAACCGGGGCCAGTTCTCAAGTTTTACACATTTTGGACTTGCCAAACTTTTAAAAAGTTATGGAATGAAGAATAATGAAATATAAACCCTAAGCTCTACTACATCTGAGATTTTAAAATACAACAATACGGTAGGCATAAAGAATTAACAAGATAAGGGTTAGAAACCAATACTTAGGAAATATCAGTGAGAAACTACAAAGAAAATAAAAACCACATACACCAGCTCACCAATGGGATACACTTTATTTTGGTACAAACAGCTGAGAAGAAACAAGAATATCACTCAAAGAAAACAGATGGTAATACATAATGCACCTGAATATGGGTGAATTTACATATGTATTATTATTATTATTGTACATATCATCACTATATAGGTATATGATTCTTACTTGTAATACTGTTTTTAATGGAAAATAAACAGACCTTTTACAAACAAAACAATCGAACAACAAGCTAAAATGAGCTATGGTATCTAAATAAAACATGAGCTCAAGCCTTCAGTAAAACAGCATGTGAAAAAAAAATTGTGGGTTGAAGAGGGTTTTTGGGGGGATGGATATATTTATTTGCAGCCTCCTTTTTCTCTACAGAGGTTTGTGTAGTTTGAGAAGTCTCTCCCACCCTGCCCACCCAGCCAAAAAAATGATACACCTATTCCATATACATTTTGCATGAACAAACAAAGTGTGTTGTATTTCCATAGATAAAAAAAATCAACATTCTGACCAATTCCATTGTTCTGTAAACAACACTCATCAATCTAGACGGTTTGCCTTCTTATCAACAAATCATTTTTCATACCATGCATATGCAGCATTTTCTTTTCATTCTATTTCAACAAGAACAATTGCCAAACTTCTCACATTACACAGAACCTTTATTTATCATAATTAGTCATCTGGGCTTTAATCATATGAACAAATTTTGACATATCTGAAAGAAAAGCATCTGGATACCCTGGTATTTGAAAACAAAATCTCTATGTTTTGGTAGGAGAGAGTTGCAGGGCCTTTGCAACTTACATAATTTACTCTACTTTGCTTTTAACCCTAAAAAATGAGGAACAAATTTATGTGTGCAAGTTTACTGCCTTCTTATAAACATAAATAACAGTTTATATCTGACATAGAATATCATTTTGCACAAATGGTCTTACAAACCATTTTAGACATTGAAGGGAGAAAAAAAATACCCTGTACAATTGCAAGATTCCAGAGGGTAAAAAAAGACTAAACCATATAAACCAAATCCCAGACATACAGTATAAAGGAAAGAGAGAAAAGTCTGATGCAAAGTCTGCAAGATATTAATAGTCACCAAGCTCCTGTTAGCTTAATATTTCATTCAGCTGATCAACTAGGAATGATAAGAAAAAAACTATACTGAAGATGTGGAACAAACTAGGCAAAATAGAGGCCAAATTAATACTTTTGCAACCAAAAAGGAAAAAAATTCTTTTCAGTTAATGAAGACAAATTTTTCCTTCAGTCAAAAAGAACCAGTTTTAAGAAAAAAAATAAATCAATAAAAAAGGTAATTCCTAGGCACTGATGAAATTTTCATATGCTAACAAGCACCCACATTTAGTTACTTAGTCCCCATCTATTTCAAACACCAGAATGTCATCTTTTCTCTCATTACAGTGCTGCCACCTATATAAGAGATTTCAGTGCCAAACCACCTGGCTGGGATGGTCTATAGGACCTAATTTATAGTACCTTGATGTTCCATTCATAGCACCGCCACTTAATGTCTGCTGTTGCTGTTGCACTTGACTTGATTCCTGCAGTTTCACGTTAGAACCATCACCCTTCAGGACTGATATACACTTCCAGTTGTCCAAATAGTTTGCTGAAACATAATGATAAAATGTTGAAATTTTTCAAAATGATGCACAAATGAACTGGAGAGTGCATTTCAGATGAAAAATGATTTTAAAATATCAAAAACAGAACATTCTATATATTTATCAACTGAGGATCTTTTTCCTTCTTTTATCAACTAAACTGCATCAATACCAATTAATGAAAAAAAACTTTCCAAAATCCCAATGCTTGCTGAACATGAACTACTGTATCACTTAAGTTCAAATTGAGGTAATGGACAGGTACCCTTAAGACAATTAAACTGTGCTTTGGGTCACGAGTCAAACCTTACCCTTCCATAATCTTACACAACCATCATCACCACTAGATGCCAGCACTGTGCCTGTCACATTCCAGCTAAGTCGCCATACCTTGCAAACAAATGTTTAAATACTTTAATATAATATGACTAATATATAAATATAACTTTCTATAGTCAAAGATGCAAGCGCTGAAAGCTCACAGTTCTATATGGAGGGTCCAGGGATTTAAGTACAACACTAAAATATCTAGACATCTGGATAAATCCAGAAGACTCTCTAAATATTATATAATATTAAGTTCTTGGCTGGAGAGGGTGTGGAAAACACACATGAACACAAGCAGTGTATTGAAGAAATATAGGACTTAAATCAACATTCTAATCATTAATTTATACAGATTCTCTGTTTTCATAGATATTTAAAAATAACCTAGACTAGTACTTTGACACTGGGCCAAGATGCTCATACCTAAAATAAGAGCAATTATACCATTTTCAAATTTTGCATTATCAAATTGCAAAAAAGAGCTATATTTCTCATTAAAGATTTCACAAATGGACACTTTGCACTCATATTGCCCTCACCTGTGCATTGTGTTCATCAAACTGTGCCACCTGACGCAAGTCAAATTTACTGTGGCCTGAAGTTTGGGTTGAAGACTGGTCTCTCCTGAAATATTGTGACAAAAAATGAAATAAAAAATGAAATTTTCAAACATCTGAAACTCAAGTTTACTGTGACTTGAAATTTGGGTTGAAGATTGATTTCTCCTAAAATAATGTGAATGGAAATAAAATATCAAAGCTTAAAGAAAATACGCTTTAAATCATACAGACAGTAAAATTACTGGATTGGTGACTGGACTTTTTAAATATTGCGAGAGTAAAATCCAATCATTAAAGCAAAAAACTTTTACTACCTGAGTGGCTTGAGGGAAATAATCCTGACATCTTTGGAGGCTATCCCTAATAAGTGGTAAGATCTGCCTAAATTGGGTGCAAACTGGATGTCCTTCACTGACTCTGTTACCACGGTGATTGTCTCAACTTTACTCCACTTCCTGTAAATAATAAGAAATATTACTTTTGAATTTCTCCCAGTGTCTAAGTCCCTGGGCACATTATTTTTCCTCTCCAATCCAAAACATCTTTTTCTGTATGCAATTTTTTTTCACCCATTTATTAGCAATTTTAATTGTTGAAACAAACAAAAGATTAAGGGGCCTCTGTGCAACTGCACCTATAACTTCCCCTACACTTTTAACAGAAACATGCTGTAGAGGCAAAAACTAGTAAAACTGATTTAATTTAAATGCTTTTTAATCACAATGATAATATGTCATTTTTTCACTGATACCTTTATGTGGTGTGTGTGCATATGTTCCCGCATACATGTCTGTGTTTGTGTTTACCTTGAATTATCATTGTACTCGTATATTTGTACTTTTCCACCCCCTGATGGATTTGCATCATCGCTTCCTACAGCAATCATTGGCTGGTGAACCCTAAAAAACATCATCAATGTACAGAGAAAGGAAGGCATACAATTCATTGGAAAACATTATACAGACATGAACCTAGGTTTTAAAAAAAAATCTTTGAACATTTATCGTGGGACCTAACCTTGGTCAATCTCAGGAACCATCAGAATTGAATTAAAAAATGCAGAATTCCACTTTTCCACAGAAAAAGTTTTTTTCTGATTTCTGATTATATTTAGCTCTTAATCAAACATGTTAACTTGTTCAAAATATGAAACAAATATAATGCTTGGATCACCAATTTTCTTTTCTTTTTTTCATTTCAGCCAAATAACAAAAGTTTCACCAAACCCCTGAAATCAGCATATCATTATCATAATTTCAAATCTTCTTTTGCCAAAGTTAATCAGTTTTGGGACTTGGAAAAAAAATTACAATGCTTTCAGCACGCCCCTACATTTACCTGGAAGGGTTCCATGATATACAGCTACAGCTGAGTTTACAGGATATCTCGTGTTGTAACGACCACTGACTGAGGTTCATCACATCAGGTGCTTCATAAATCCGAACAATACCATCAGCTGAACATGTGGCCTTCAGGTATATAATAAAATAAGTCACACTAAAAATAACTCATTCTAACAATCATAACATAAACTGAGCAAGTGACTTTCCATAAAAACAAGTGGAAATGAAAATAATAAAATATAAATAAAAACTTAAATCTTCTGCAACAATATGGCAACCCACTGCCAATTATGCAAGATAGTGTCTGTCTCCACTCTTTTTAGTTTCATACCAATTAAATGCAAATGCATTATTTCTGAAATTACTGGAAGTAAATCAGAAATTTTAGGCCCTGCCTTCATTATCATCCTTTATGTGAAAAAAAATCCTTGGATAAATATCTACTTTCTCTCTTTCACTAATTGAGGAATTCACAAAGAATAAAAAACATGGCATTCTATATAGAGGAGAAAACCTCAGCCTACACAAAAAGTAAATTATGCCAGTTCACAAGTGGCTGCTGGGTCCACTTACCAACTGTAGCCCCAAGTGTTTGGGAGCAAACTGGACATCTGTGACGGAGGTTCTGCTGTCCACCAGACTGGTCCTCTTGACCCAGTTCTTCTGCCCATGTTCTGTAGATTCTCCAACTACAATATAATGAGCAAAGGGTTAAATCCAGGAATAGAAATTTTAACATATTGCATATCAGCTGTGATACTACATGATGAGCTCTGGCACTGTCTAATTTTTTTAATTTTTATAGCTGGACTTTGGAAGCCAATCCAATTATTTACAATATTAGATGATCTATCCTCTATGTAAGGAATCTGCTAATCATTTAAAATCATTATATATATATATATATATTTTCAGCTGGAAGCAGAAGCCTAAAATAGTAGTACTAGTAAAAGGTAGAAGTGGCTAACGGGCTCTCTTTTACAATTTTTGTTTTTATTTTTCATACAAGTAATGATTATTTAAACATTGATATGGAAAAAAAATGAGGCTCAAAGTCCATATTTTACACTCAAAACTATCCCAATACTATTTTACAATGGATGATTAACATACCAAGCTCCACCCACACTGCTGTCCATTCACTGTGACACATAATATACTCCTTTATTGCTGTCATTCAAATACCCCATGTAACATATGACATCACATACCTAGCTCCTCCCACACTGCTGTCCATTCACTGTGACACATGATATACTCCTCCTTTATTGCTGTCATTCAAATACCCCATGTAACATATGACATCACATACCTAGCTCCTCCCACACTGCTGCTGTCCTATCAAATGAGCAGGTTGCTATCACTTGACCAAACTCAGGATGGGCCCAGGTGACCTTCCAGACAGAGCCACTGTGGGTCTACAAAGTCAAATTGTTAACAGCTAATACCGCTGTCACTTTGTATTTCAATGATTTGTTGCTTATTTGTATAAGTGAAAAAATAAATTAATTAATTAAATAAAATAATAATAAATAAAAAAATACAAAAATACAATCATTTAAGTTTGATGTAACTGACACAATTGATAAACGTAACGCCTTTTAAGCATTTCTATGATAATTAATTACATACAGCAGTAAACACTCATAGAATTTTCTAAAACGAAATGTATTTATACCCTTTGAAGCTACATTTTGTTAATAACATAAAAAAAACAACACCTGAAATTTCTGAAAATCAAGCTGAATGCATAATTTTTGTATTAATAAATAAATGTTGCATCTTGATAACAAATATGTACTTTACAACAAAACATAGTCAGTGCAAAAATGTGATTTAGGATAATATTTTTTCAATGATTTGAAAAGGTTATACTTTGGTGTTTAATAGACAATTCATTGCTGAAATTTTAATAAATGTTATTTCTCTAAAAAGGTCTATTATGCATTAGCTGCATTTAATCATGTTCAATGTAATACTGAATAAAAACAGTATGGCATATATTGGTATAGGGGGATTTTCTTAAATTTGTTAAAATACTTCTTAATTTTTTTTTTTCATTACAGTAGACCTGTGTGGTATTCTATGTTGTTTGGGATGGTTTATATACTGATTCATTGGCTCTATTCCCATAGATTTTAGATCGATCTATCCCCGCGGGGAGTCTCACTAGATTACTTTCAGATAATCCGACTTAAATGTCCGTCCCGCCTACTACAAGCTGTAAGGGGATAATTAACTTTCGTGTCCGCCCAGCTGACAGCTATTTAGCGTGAACCCCCAGGGAGTTAGGTCGATCTAAAGTAGGTCGATCTAATCTATGAAAATGGGGTGATTGACACCCAAGTTTGGTACAGCTTAGCCCACGCAGCACTGAAATAGCATACTGATGATCATGTGTAAAAGTGCGATAACTGTGGACAAGTTATCTGAATATAATTCACCTTCCAGTTAGCAGTGCACGTCCAGTGTCCATCTTCTCCTAAATCCCAAACCTGAAACAAAACACAAGGAAATATTTAGACTGTAAATGAATACAAGGTGGCTGGGTGATGAACTTTTAGTTAAAATACTTTTAATTTTTGTTAACTTTCTATTAATTTTTACTTTATGGGTCCACCGAAATAATATCTTTCCATGACTAGGCCTATACTTGTGTTTTTGCATGGTAGAAAATGCATTTATTTTATGATCCCCAGAAAATAAAATATGCCCCCCACCACCACCACCACCCCCACTCCCTCAACCACCATCAGAACTGAATCCATGCCCTCTCTGTACAAACCTTCACGTTTTGATCACTTGAACATGTTGCCATTCGCCGGCCGTGAAAATCAAAAGCCACATCGTGGATGAGATCTTTGTGGTCGGCCGGAATGCTTCGCGCGACAAACATGGTGTTTAAATAAATGAAATTTCAGTGAAATACCATTCTGTCCTTCTTTATTCGCCTTTACATCCCGCCACCTGCTTTGTCCGAAACTACAAACGATTTGGGGACTGGCTCCGTGAGATTTTGTTAGAGCAATTTTGATTGGTTCATTAATCAAGGACACATCCTCTAACCAATTACAGATCCGAACACACAAAGTTTAGGAAATGAAAAAGCTCCATGAAAAAAACACACCGCAAACAATGGAATGTTACGTTGTAGTGTAGAACGCAACTGGTGGATGTTGTTCTGCAAATGAAAGTCAGATTGGTAAGTGAGGTTTCTTGTACCAAGATGCATCATGAAAAGGAAATATTTCTTAGGAATATCGCAGTCACTGAGTCTAGCACTGTACCAATATGTTTGCAAGATTGTCAAATGTCGAAGTTGAAGGTACCCATCCAAATCTCCGAAGTGAATATTCATTGATTTAGATTTTCTTATCTTAATTCTTCACCGCCACTTCAACTTGAGGGCAGTAGAAGAGGCACTGACGAGGGTCTGAATTCATTCAATATGTCACATAAGTATTACTCATTATCACTTGAACTGTTGTGAAGAAAATGACAAATGGATACTATTTGACCTTTGCATGCAATGTGCAAACATGGCAAAGAGCAAACCATGTGCTTGACAGACCGTCTCTGTGTGAGACGTTATGATTAATTGGTTTTTCAGACACTGGTATTTCTTGATGACAGAGATGGTGATTTTGACTCATATTTTGGGCGGAATATTGATTGGTGAAGTAAAAGGTAGTAAAATGGACTTGGAAATTTCCCTGGTTGTCCGTGACAGGTGTTTGAGGAAGTTTGTTACGTAAACCTTGATTTTATGAGAATTTTTTCCTTGTAAAATTTTAGCAGTGAAAGATTGTGTTTGATTATAGTATATAAATACCTTTTAGGCAGAGATTGGTACAAGTAAAGGTTTGGCAGTATATTATATGTAGTGCTGCTGCCCATGTATTTTGTTTAATTAGTCTCTTTACAATACATTTTAGGAAACAAGTGAGAATGAGCTCGACGTGTCTTTCCGCATTGCCTGGGGCTCGCTTTCATAATTACCATGGACAAAATATTCGCCTTTTTGAAGACAATTCAGTTGCATTTCGGGAAAGCAGCTTTGCACATGCAATCAGTTTTAGTGAAAAACCTCTTCAACCAGGAGAAATATTTCTGGTTGAAATAGAAAAAAATGAGCGTGGGTGGAGTGGACATATGAGAATAGGATTAACACAACACGATCCGAATGACGGATTTGAACTGCCACAATATGCCCTGCCAGACTTATCCAATTTAGGGAAATCATGGATATTTGCTATCACTAAGTCCCACAACCGTGTATACTCAGCTGTTGAACTGGATGATGAAACAAGTGACGATCACAGACCCAAGTCAATACTTGGTGAAGGGGACTATGTTCATACCAGTAAAGGCACCTTTAAAAACAGTTTACTTCGTCCCGTGCCCAGACAAGGGGTATCGCTACAGGACACAGACGAGAGTTTTCTCCCCACTGACATAGGTAGTCGTATTGGTGTGGTGTATGTATTGACAGGGGAAAATAAGGCAGATATGCACTTTATAATTAATGGGGAAGACCAAGGTGCTTGTGCAAAGGACATACCATATCAAGATGGCCCTGTTCATGCTGTGGTGGATGTTTATGGGACCACAAAACAAGTCAGGATCATCCAGTTATATTCAGGTAAAATTCAGGGCTCATGATCCCTGCTTGATTAGCACTAAATTAATTTCTTTTGTAGATTTAAAACATACTGATTAGCAAATGTGCAAATCTAAAATTGTAAAAAGATATTAAAATGGTAGCAATTTCAGGTACTAGTAAAGGCATTTGGAATTTTAAAGCTAATTTTTGTATGCTGTGTTTTTAGTAATACTAAGAATTCGGTGGAATAAAAGTAATGATAAATTTTTAAAAGAAAACTGCAGGTGCATATTTTAATTGTAAATCTTACATAATGTTGTTTAATGAACCAAATTATATTATGAAATGCATATTTTTTCTTTCCAGTGTCTACTCTTCAAGATGCGTGTCGTGAGGTCATTCTGAGGAACACTCGCTCTGATAACATTACAAGGCTTCCTTTGCCCAAGAAAATTAAAGAATTCTTGAGATTTGAAATATGAGCGTAGAGTCTTATGTATCAGTTAGTACCAGTGGTGTGTGAGTTCAGCAGTGCCTGGAGTGGTGCTATATTGCAGAAAAGAAAACTAATGCCATAAGCATATGTGTCAATGTCACGAATATCAGGTTGAATAGAAAGTAAAGAGTGTAAAAAGGTTGACCTCTCATGAGAAATCATGTCTCATAAATTGTAAAAAAAAAAAAAAAAAAGCTGTGACCTGTTATGTTCAGTACGTACAACCTCAATTACAGCTGTTGTTAGATAAAGCAGGTTCTATTTTAACAGAACTCGTTTGAACAATACAGAAAAAAGTTATATTTTATCAGAACTTGTTAGAACAATACAGATCAACAGTTTGTACATATTGGAAAATAACTTGAAGCCATCGTTTAGTATGCACTATAATACTAAACTTTCTTTCTCTGATGAGTTATTTCTATGCCATGTTCATATCTATATTTCATTAGTATCTGTGTATTTTTAATTCAGTTTGAAGCCTTATGTTTGTCATGTTGGTATGTGAGCATTAGAAGTGATATTAAGATATCACTATGATGATGTATAATCCCCACCCCTCATCAAGCCCCAGGATAGCTTTTATAATTTTCAGTGTTACTATGCATATCTGAAGTCCCATAAGCATCTTCATTATGATGGAAAATGTTCTCTTGTTCTATATTTTCTCTGATAACATGAGATACATAACATTATACCCATTAGTGCTAAATTTGCTAGAATATGCAGTCTTTTATTGTGTTAATTCTCTTCTAATAAGCAAATTACCTTTTCACAAAATCCATGATAAATTTACAGAATATTTAGATTAAGTCGCAAGGATGTTTTCTGCATATGGAATTGGTTATAGCACTTGGCTGAAATTTTATTTGCATAAAACGCTTAGTTCATGAGGTTTATTATTGTAGTTATTGCATTTTATGCAGGCTTTTTATCATGGTTAATGGCAAAAGTATTTTACAATTATGAAGTAGGAAGTAGTGGGGTTCTTATTCATAATAGTGCTGTTTAAAATACATAGAACTTTGACAGATAGACTTTGGCAAATGGCTTTCTTCTCAAGATGATACATTTTGAATTATAGTTTAATTAATTTCAGAGATATATCTTCCACATTTTTTTTTCATTTTCCCCCCACATTATCCTTTTAAAATGTTATGTTGATGCTGGTATCCTTTCTTCAGTGCTTAAATGATTTCTTGTAAACAAGCTTTTGATTCAATTGCTGTTAGAAATGATTGCTTAGAAAAAGAATTCTGTAACTTATTGGTAACCATCAGTCAAGACTTCATGGATAAGCTGCTTGTTATTAAGTGTATGGGCAAGTTTCTGTGCTACAGGAGGTATTCTTGCAAATAGATTGTGCAATAAATACTGTGTAATGAGTTCTGTAAATTTGTGGTTTCTCTTTTGTCTGTTTTTATGTACAGACACAGTATGCCTGTACATAGTCATCATACTCATCACCTGCTTGTGGTAGAGTAACAGCTCATTCTGAAGATCTAAAATAAAATCTATCTCAACGTTAGCAATCAACTTTTCTAAATGCTAAATCGGCTTATCTAAATTACAATCTTTGGTAAAAAATTACATATCAGATTCTAAAGGTATGTATTTGGCAGAATGGAGAAGTAAAAAAAAATGACTGAAATTTCTCTCATCCTTTAAACATCTTGGATCGGCTCCCGATTTTATCTCTGTAAGTGTATTTATATAACAACATGTTTGTTTATTTATGTATTTTTTATTGTTTAAAATATTTATTATTTTTGCTTATTTAATTCTAAAATTGTTCTGTAACTTGTGCTGTGCATATTCATAATAATGTTCGAATGATAAATCCGTGTCGGTATTGTATCTTTTCACTTGCAAGTTCTCTGCAAACAACCTTTGTCCAAAAAGTCTGTTATTTGGTAGGGGTGACAGTTACTCAGAATCTCCTGTACTGCACTGGTTGCCCTGTGTGCTATCCGCTATATACCTTGCAATTACACTTCCATTATGGACAGATGTCGGTCTTCACCATTCTCTTTCCTGAAATTTTACTCATAAACACTGAAAGGAAAATGAACAAAGGAACAAAGGAAAATGAACACACTTGAACGAATGGTTAAAAGGACTTAAATACTGTTCAAGTTCAAAAACGTAACTGAAATGGATTTTTTCTTTAAGTAATGAAAACAAACATTATTGGATTTTTTTCTGGAATTTTTTTTTTTTTTCGTGAATTAATATTTTTTCACAAATTGACATTTTCCAGGTGTGCAACTGAAGTAACGTTTTAATTTTACTGCTTCTGTCAGATTTGACATATAGATCTGTCCTTTTAGAGCCGATCTGCCTTGTTTGATTGCTTCTTTTTGAAAATTTCATGTAGTCATTCTCATGGATGGATATCCAAGTGACTACTGTACTTTAAACTTAAATGGTATAACATAAAAAATCATTTCTGTAAATAATATCTTTATTCAGCATTCTTATTTAAGTCTGACGATTCTTAAAATATAAATAATCTTGATACTTATGACTTCATGGAAGCATAAAAGCATGAGAGCTGACAAGTTTTCAATACTTTTGAATCATACAAACATTTTTAAAGGGAAAATTAAGCCAACTCTGCATGCAATGTCCACACTTTTGACAAACTTTACAAGAAAGTAGGAAAGACCAAAATGGTAAAAATTGTCATGCAAAAATATCAAGCTATTCAAGGTAAATGGCTTGATTTCACAGTTGTGCATTGCCCAATATCTCAGTTGTACAGTATGAATAAATTTGTCAAATTGATACCTCCAATTGTGTGCAAACTGAGGTTTAAAATGTGTGTAATTTTAAACAACAAGATGATGGTAATGAGTCGGGTATCTGTCAAGTCACTTTGTAATCAATTCAGTGTTAAATTTAAGGAAAACCTGAAGGACAAAACAGAAAGAAATCTCAAAATCGACTTGTCATCAGCACCAAGAGTATCATTCTACATTTGCCTCCACATTCAGACTGTAGTTATTTCTAAATCATAAATCATATTAGCCCTGCTTAAAAAAGAAAAAAAGAAAAAAAAACATACCAAGATTGTAATATCACATTACAGCAGTGTGACAAACTTAAACCATAAAATTGAAATAATGAAAGTCTGCCTGGGAATAATTTTGATTTCATAAACAAAACAGCATCATCCATAAAAACAGATTATTGCCTTCTCAGCCCCTCCCCCAGTATATTTCTTTTCCAGTTCCCTAATAAAAAAGAAACTTCTGAGAGTAAACACCTCCTCAATCCGTCATCTATACTGTTAAGACACTGCACTGTGTTCAGCACTATTCGCCAGTGCCTGGATTATGATGTCCCTGAGCAGAGTCGCCTGTAGGTGGCTGTTCTGTTACCATGTCGATATGTGCCAACATGTTGGCGACCAGTTTCATAGAATCTACACCACCCAAAAGGTGCCTGAAAGGATGAGTAGGTCAATATCATCATACACACATATTAGCAACACTCCTAATACAATAACGTACAAATTTAAAGTTTGAAATGTTGATATTCTATACTGAAATGCTATGCCTTTGTTCCTGAGATGATTTCCAACAATTACCAACACCATAATTTGGCATAGTTTTCTATTCCAAATTTATGGGCATTAAGTTCTGTTTATTTTTATTTCAGCTATTCTACATCACACAATTTTAACAATGATCATGTCAAATTTTTATCCAAGTGAAAAAAAAAAAACATTGTTTTTTTGATACAAAAACATTGTCTTCTTCACATTTACCTGCACTTCTGAATCAATAAATTTAAAACTCCTAAAAAGCACTTACTTAAGTGAAAGTTCAGCATTGGTAGCAGCAGCTTTAATTTGTTCTGAGGCATATCTTGCTTTTTCTCTCATTGCACCATGTAAATTGTCCCCTGACCGCAGAGCTGTGTTCTCTGCTGTTAACGATGAGATCTGACCCTGAATAACAGAGGTTTTTGTAAAATAAAATTTTGGTGAAATAGCTTTTTCCAGCATCTCTCAGCTTCATACGTAAAAAGTCATTTATTCTCTTCAGAAAAATATTCATCTTTTAAGATCCTAGTATTATTGTGCAGAAGTGTTAAAACCACTGACATATTGTGAGGCACGTTTTATTTCCTACAGTATTCGAGTTAAAATGAGACATTTTACCTGTAAATTTTTGACGTCTTGCTTTAAACTGGCCACTTTACTCTCTGCCCGCACAGCTCTTTGCTGTAAAAGGAGATTCAGAGAAAATCAAGTGCCAATGAGTTATATTATTATTATTAACAACACAAATTGCATCATTAATAATCAACCATAATATTTGGTTATCACTGACCAAACCATGAAATCCCAAGCCTATTTTATGACCTTCGTTCATATTTTAAGTTAGCAAATTTAATTTAAACTCTGATTATCAACTGTTAAAAGTAATACTGATTAAATATATCTGCTTATTTTAAATGAAGATACATCTACTTTATCCTTTTGTTTCATAAATCTCACAAACATATCACTTTCTTACTGTTGTAGTTTCAAGATTGGCCTCCACTTGTTGTACCATTTTCTCCAAAGCAGCTGTCTCCTCACTCTCACGTTTCTGTGTGGCTTCTTTTTCTTTCAAAATTTTGGCAACTCTGTAAAATCAAGGTAGTTATTAAGAAATATATTCAACTAATAATCAAAAGAATGAAATACAAAGATTTGCATGCCGAACTGACACCTCTATTTCATTAACATGACGAAAGCAACTTGACGAAAACATCACTTTATTCTTAATAAGAACAAACTTTATAGGTATAATCATAAAAAAATTTTAACTACTTATTTCAAAATCATATTTTGCCATCAAATTATAAGATTCCCAAAACTGTGCTGACAAAAGATCGCACACTTTTATTTTTCAAGTATAACAAACAATATGTTGGTAATCAGTTTAGGCCAAGTTCAACGCGTACTTTTAACTACCAAAGCCAAATACCAACTGAATTTGACATATACAGTAAATTTTCTTATTAGTCAAATTGAACACATTATGTGCAACATTTTTTGGCAATGTATAAACTGAAACTCATGAAATTCATGCAAATTTACTCCTTGTGTTACTCGAAACATATTTTCTGATTTTACAGCCTACTGCACAATGTAAGCAATCATGCAGATATGACAAGGGTAAAACTAAAACATAAAAATGATTACCTTCTTGACTCAACCTCTGCCTGTTGTCTGGCATCCTCCAGTTGTTGTCTGAGAGCAGCATTCTCCTGTTGGAGCTGAAAACAAACAAACAAAGATATGACATGTGACAAAACTACAACAAGAGCAAGTGTTAAAGCAACAACAAAAGAAAATCTTAAAGTTCATCAAAAGCATACATCCTAGATTTCAGCAGTATTATCTAAAATGCAAGCTAAAGCTGTTCAAATGTGAGGCAGGCTTTAAGCACATAAAAAATCAGGCACAGTGAGCAATTTTCATTCATGACTCTACCACTGCTGTATCTTTTTCACTTAAAGTTCTAAAATTCCAATTTCTGAATTCAATATCTATTATAATAAATCCAAAACTTTGAGAGAGTTACCCACCCTCCTAACTTCTAACTCTAGACTTCCACTAGTAACATGATATGCTATACTGTCTCCATTGGGTAAGCCTTCTGTAGTCCAGTCCCCACCAAATGGGGGGCTTCCACCAAGAGCACTGTCCGATAAGAAGTCTGGTAAAGCAGCTTTTCTGGGAGAATTTCCCAAAATTAAGTCATTACTTATGCCCCCTGAGGCACCTGTCTCTGCAGCATGCACATGTCCATTGACTGGAACCCTGTCTATTGGTGGATTTATATCCAATGGAATAACTGGATCTATATCCAATGGGATTGTTGGATTACTGTTAGTGCCACTGCCGTGGTCTATATTAGGACTAGGTAAATTAATAGCATTTGTCACACTGGTATCCAAGGCAAAGTCTGGTAACTCTAAGTCCCTGCCAGGTCTGTCTCTTAATCTCTGTCTATCAAATTGATCCTGCACAAAGTCTGGTAAATCACTAGCGACATCTGGTGGCGCTGAACTAAAGTTTCCACTTGAGTCACTCCGTGTATTTGGCCTTGAGGATGAACTCTGACCCTGAAGGAATTTCTTGAAGGAAAATGGGTTTCCCTCATCATCTTTTTTCTTTGTCTTATCTGAAAAATTTAAAACATTTCCAGTAAAAAACAAACAAACATAAAACATAAGGAAAAAGTAACTGTATGATATGGTCTGCCTCCTAAATACATACTGGACCACAAGTATGCATTTCAAAGTAAAATATATATGTTGTTTCTGTAACATAACAAACCAACTTTCTTTATAATCTACACAATACTTAAAGATATACTATATGCACGTCTGAAAATGCCCGTAGCCACATTACCTTTGACCACATATCCTACAAAGCTACTTATTTTTCCCCAATTCAGATCTTGAAAAATGATAAAACTTTCAAATAAAAGTACCTTACGTCGATATCTCATTCCTTCATAACTCATGAAATTAAGTATTTATTCTTGTACGAAAATTCTCTCAAAAATAAAAAGGGAACATCATCGTCTTAGTTATGATGGATATTCCACAAAATTGAAATAATCATAATATTAAATAATCAATCGACAATTAAATATATTAAAGTATAACGCCGTTAGTATATCAAGGAGACATTTCACATCAATGACGTAAATAAAACTGACTGTCATCAAAGTTTATCAAGTAGTGTACACATAGTCAGCTGATCAGTTTAAAAATACAATGTTGTGAATTTCACTTTTCAGGTCCACCCACCAACATGTTGATTTTTCTTGCTTTTATGACTTTCGGTAGATAAAGGAACATCGGGAACATCAAATATATCGAAGTCCTCTTCGTCATGGCCTCTAGGATTATTTCTAGAGCTCCCTGCTTTAGATTTCTTCACGAATTTCTTAAATGAAAAGGGATTGTCTTCGTCGTCCTTGCCTCCTTCCGCCATGCTGGATGCTCGTTCTGAGCATGTGCAGGAAGTCCACAGGTTGACAGGTGCCCAGCAACTTCCGCTTTCAGATAGGTGCCGAAATGGCTTTATTTTCCAAAATTTATGGAGCTCTAGGGCGTAACGTTAGAACAGGTAATTAAACGTTTTATAATCAAGGTGTGTATGGAAGGAAATGAGCGAACAGCATTTTATATATCTAAAATGAGACGTGGGAAATCTGCGTGATAAGTAGGTCAAAGTTGTTATACAGTGTAACTCAAAATAAAAACTGGGTCAATCGTGTTTTGCTTGAACTTGAAGTTCACTAAAGTAGTTAATTGTTTAAAATCGCTGTATTGAAACTTTGTCAGTTTTGTGAAAATGAAGTTTTAGTAACATTTATTATAAGCTGAAAGGATTTGCTGAAGCGTTCGAATTTGTGTAAGAAATGATTTTTAAAAATTTTCAACTTTTTAAAAAAACTGGTGATCAAATAAAATAAAATTTTATCATTTTTTTGTCCAGTCATTTTTAAGCCCAAGAATTATTTGCCTTACATAAATGAATTTTCAGAAAAGCTGTTCAAACAATTTTTATACATAACCTCTAAGCTTATCAGTTGTTTGGTTAGATTGCAACTAATGGCTTTGTTTAAATAGAGCTTGTTCTCATGTTATTTTAGGTGCTATACGTTGTATGAGTTCTGCACCGCAAATGCCACCATGTGATTTTAAACCAGAACCATACCAGGTATGACCTACTTAATGCTTCAAGCGTTAGCAGTCATAGCCTTGAAAAAAGGATAGAGGATTTTGTTCCCTTCATTTTTCTCACTTGATCTGTATACAGTACACACAGGCATGTACATAAATGCACATTTAAGCATTCATACATATGAACATCATATATGCACCAGGGGCGTAACCAGACCTTTAAAAATTGTAAGCACAGATTTTTAAAATTCCCAGCAAAATGTAGACTAACGCAACAGATGAAGGACAGTGTAATCACAGCATATGTACCACACATCGCAGCTTAATTTCCATTAATAATTAAATCATCATTTAGTCAGAAATATTCTCGCAATTAAAACAGTTTCAATAATCTTATTAACCAGACCGGTATATTTATTTAAAAAAAAAGGCTAGCTTCGCATATGTGGAACCCCCTTCAAATAATCCTGGATCCACCTCTGAGTTGAACTAACATACGGTTTCATTCAGCTTACATGTGGATGCATGGCTCCCAAAAACAACCAATTGTACGACACGACAGAGCTCTGATACATCTAAGTTTAATTATTTGTTTGTAAAAATTGCCCATGTCACCCTGTTAGTTTGTAGGGGTAAGCTTGGTCAAGTCCGTGTCAAAATTCTTTGAAGCTTTGCAGGAAAAATTCTTCCTTTGTTTCTCCAGCTCCTTATTAAACCTGGTGTCCAGATTTTATCTAGTGCCCCCAGGGTTGCGGGAGCTGCTCTTTGAAAATAAGACTCCGGCAGATTTTTACCTGAGATAAATATCGCCAGCGAGAATGCGTTCAATATTCTGAAGAAAGAGGCTACAAGAGAGTTGAGGGCCACTGAACCCTCCAATAAAGAGGTAAAGGAAGTTCCAGTTAGATGGACGATTAAGATATGACTTGTTAAGGTTACAGGCGTTGTTTACCTCAGTTCAATAAAAGTAGGGGGGACGGGGGGGGGGGGGGGCAGAACAATTGTGCCTTTACAATTGGTACAGAGGATTTGTACATACAGGTGACTTTAATAAGCAGAGGATTTTCTTTTATATTCCGTGAAAAATACACTAAATTTATATAAAATAATATCATGGTTGGCCAAAAAATTGTACGCACAGTGCATCCGTGCGTATGCCTAGTTACGCCCATGAGCACACACATACCCTTCACCACAAATGTATGTGTTAAAGTGCGCACACATGTACATACACACAGTTGTGTGCATTCCCGCATATTACATGCATACAAAATACACACTGCTGTTCCGTTGATGATATAGGGATGCTGATGATGTCTGTAGCAGAACCAATTTCTTATGATAATATTTTTTTAAAATTTAGTCCTCTATCTTTTACTTTAATAATCTGTTACAAGTAACATTTCAAGTAACACGCAGCTGACATTTAAAAACACTTTGCAGATCAGAAAATCAAATCTAACACCATCACATTATGGAACTTATGAAATTAAACTATAATTTTTATATACCATCATATCTATGCCACCTTATGATTTAAATCAGAAACATATCAGGTGTGGTCGACCTATTTAATGCTTCAAGTGATACCATTCGTAGCCTTGAACAAAAGGAGCATTTTGTTGCCTTCATTTGCCTCACTTTCTTTATCTGTATATACGTAGGCATGTACCTGCATACTCACACACACAACCCTTCTCAAAAATACATTTGCTAAGAGTCCTGCACTCTGAGTCTCACACATGTATACACTCACGCACACACAATATTTGTTTTACATTTAGATCTCTTACTTTGGTACTTAATAATCTGTCACAAGTAGCATTTTTATCTACATGCACCAAACATATCAAAACATATCAAAGCAGCAGATAGTTTAGATCCATCATCAGTGTTAGAAATTAATGCTGGACCGTCTGCCCGGGGCCGACAACTTTCAGAACGGGCTGAGAAGTTTTCCCACCATGTCTGCCAGACATTCGAGCCAGCTACTTTTGAAAATGGCTAAACTTTCGGTCCAGCAACTAATTTTCCTAAGAGGCAAACACTGTCCATCATATTGTTGAACTGTTTTATAAATTTCACATAAATCTATTNAAGTTTACTGTGACTTGAAATTTGGGTTGAAGATTGATTTCTCCTAAAATAATGTGAATGGAAATAAAATATCAAAGCTTAAAGAAAATACGCTTTAAATCATACAGACAGTAAAATTACTGGATTGGTGACTGGACTTTTTAAATATTGCGAGAGTAAAATCCAATCATTAAAGCAAAAAACTTTTACTACCTGAGTGGCTTGAGGGAAATAATCCTGACATCTTTGGAGGCTATCCCTAATAAGTGGTAGGATCTGCCTAAATTGGGTGCAAACTGGATGTCCTTCACTGACTCTGTTACCACAGTGATTGTCTCAACTTTACTCCACTTCCTGTAAATAATAAGAAATATTACTTTTGAATTTCTCCCAGTGTCTAAGTCCCTGGGCACAATATTTTTCCTCTCCAATCCAAAACATCTTTTTCTGTACGCAACTTTTTTCACCCATTTATTTATATTAACAAATAAAAGTATGTGCAACTGCACCTGTAACTTCTCCAACACTTTTAAATGAAACATGCTGTTGAGGCAAAAACAAGTAAAACTGAATTAATTCAAAGGCTTTTTTAATCACAATGATAATAAGTCATTTTTTCACTGATACCTTTATGTACTAATAAGGTGTGTGTACGTATGTTCCCGCATGCATATCTGTGTTTGTGTTTACCTTGAATTATCATTGTACTCGTATATTTGTACTTTTCCGCCCCCTGATGGATTGGCATCATCGCTTCCTACAGCAATCATTGGCTGGTGAACCCTAAAAAACATCATCAATGTACAGAGAATGGAAGGCATACAATTCATTGGAAAACATTATACAGACATGAACCTAGGTTTAAAAAAAATCTTAGAACATTTATCGTGGGACCTAACCTTGGTCAATCTCAGGAACCATCAGAATTGAATTAAAAAATGCACAATTCCGCATTTCCGCAGAAAAAGTTTTTTTTCTGATTTCTGATTATATTTAGCTCTTAGTCAAACATGTTAACTTGTTCAAAATATGAAAAATGTATTGCTTGGATCACCACTTTTCTTTTTTTTTTCATTTCAGGAAAATAACAGAAGTTTCATCAAACCCTTGAAATCAGCATATCATTATCAAAATTTCAAACCTTCTTTTGCCAAAGTTAATCGGTTTTAGCACCTGGACAAAAAAATGGCAATGCTTTCAGCATGCCCCTACATTTACCTGGAAGGGTTCCACGATATACAGCTACAGCTGAGTTTACAGGAGATCTCATGTTGTAACGACCACTGACTGAGGTTCATCACATCAGGTGCTTCATAAATCCGTACAATACCATCAGCTGAACATGTGGCCTACAGGTATACAACAAAATAATTCATACAACAATAACAGACTGATTCTTACCATCATAGCAAAAACTGAGCAAGTGGCCTTCCATAAAAACAAGTGAAAATGAAAAAAATAAAATAAAAATAAAAAGTTAAATCTTTTGCCAACAATATGGCAATTCACTGCTAATTATGCAAGATAGTGCTCGCCTCCATTCTTTTTAGTTTCAGACCAATTTAATACAAATGTATTATTTCTGAAATTACCTGAAGTAACTCAAAAATTTTAGGCCCTGCTTTCATTATCATACTTTTTGTGAAAAAAAATCCTTGGATAAATATCTATTTCTCTCTTTCACTTATTGAGGAATTCAGAAAGAAGGAAAAACATTGCATTCTATATACAGGGGCGGATTTAGGCCGTCTTCTGGGTCTTCCAGAAGACGGTCAGATTTTCAAGTTTACATTGACGGGTATCTAATTTTTTCTGTCGGAAAACGGTCAAAAATGGAGGATGGATCAACAAAGATAATTTGGAAGACTGTCAGAAAATATCTCTGAATCCACCCCTGATATAGAGGAGAAAACCTCAGCCTACACAAAAACTTAATTATGCCAGTTCACAAGTGGCTGCTGGGTCCACTTACCAACTGTAGCCCCAAGTGTTTGGGAGCAAACTGGACATCTGTGACGGAGGTTCTGCTGTCCACCAGACTGGTCCTCTTGACCCAGTTCTTCTGCCCATGCTCTGTAGATTCTCCAACTACAATATAATGACCAAAGGGTCGAATCCAGGAATTGAAATTTTAACATATTGCATATCAGCTGTGATACTACATGATGAGCTCTGGCACTATCTAATTTTTTTAATTTTTATAACTGGACTTTGGAAGCCAATCCAATTATTTACGATATTAGATGATCTATCCTTTAAAATCATTATATATATATATATATATATATATATATATATATATATATATATATATATATATATATATATATATATTTTTTTTTTTTTTTTTTTTTTTTTCCAGCTGGAAGCAGAAGCCTAAAATAGCAGTACTAGTAAAAGGCTGAAGTGGCTAACGGGCTCTCTTTTACAGTTTTTGTTTTTATTTTTTATACCAGTACTGATTATTTAAACATTGATATGGAAAAAAACAAGGCTCAAAGTCCATGTTTTACACTCAAAACTATCCCAATACTATTTTACAATGGATGATTAACATACCAAGCTCTACCCACACTGCTGTCCGTTCACTGTGACGCATGATATACTCCTCCTTTACTGCTGTCATTCAAATACCCCATGTATCATATGACATCACATACCTAGCTCCTCCCACACTGCTGCTGTCCTATCAAATGAACAGGTGGCTATCACTTGACCAAACTCAGGGTGGGCCCAGGTGACCTTCCAGACAGAGCCACTGTGGGTCTACAAAGTCAAATTGGTAACAGCTAATACCGATGTCACTTTGCATTTTAATGATTTATTGGTTATATGTATAAGTGAAAAAATAAATAAATAAATATATAAATAAATAAATAAAATAATAATAAATAAAAAAATACAAAAAATACAATCATTTAAGTTTGATGTAACTGACACAATTGATAAACGTAACGCCTTTTAAGCATTTCTATGATAATTAATTACATAAAGCAGTAAACACTCACAGAATTTTCTAAAACGATATGTATTTATACCTTTTGAAGCTACATTTTGTTAATAACATAAAAAAACAACACCTGAAATTTCTGAAAATCAAGCTGAATTTCATAATTAACAAATATGTACTTTACAACAAAACATAGTCAGTGCAAAAATGTGATTTAGGATAATATTTTTTCAATGATTTGAAAAGGTTATACTTTGGTGATTAATAGACAATTCATTGCTGAAATTTTAATAAATGTTATTTCTCTTAAAAAGGTCTATCATGCATTAGCTGCATTTAATCATGTTCAATGTAATACTGAATAAAAACAGTATGGCATATATTGGTATGGGGCGAATTTCTTAAATTTGTTAAAATACTTCTTAATTTTTTTTTTTCATTACAGTAGACCTGTGTGGTATTGTATGTTGTTTGGGATGGTTTATATATTGATTCATTGACACCCAAGTTTGGTACAGCCTGGCCCACGCAGCATTGAAATAGCATACTGATGATCATGTGTAAAAGTGTGATAACTGTGGACAAGTTATCTGAATATAATTCACCTTCCAGTTAGCAGTGCACGTCCAGTGTCCATCTTCTCCTAAATCCCAAACCTGAAACAAAACACAAGGAAATATTTAGACTGTAAATGAATACAGGGTGGCTGGCTGATGGTCTTTTAGTTAAAATACTTAGAATTTTTGTTAACTTTCTATTACTTTTTACTTTATGGGTCCACCGACATAATAACTTTCCATGACTAGGGCTATACTTGTGTTTTTGCATGGTAGAAAATGCACATATTTTATGATCCCCAGAAAATAAAATATGCCCCCCCCCCCCTCCCCACCACCCCCACTCCCTCAACCACCATCTGAACTCAATCCATGCCCTCTCTGTACAAACCTTTACGTTTTGATCACTTGAACATGTTGCCATTCGCCGGCCGTGAAAATCAAAAGCCACATCGTGGATGAGATCTTTGTGGTCGGCCGGAATGCTTCGCGCTACAAACATGGTCTTTAATTAAATGAAATTTCAGTGAAATACCATTCTTTCCTTCTTTATTCGCATCCCGCCACCTGCCTTGTCCGAAACTACAAACGTTTTGGGGACTGGCTCCGTGAGATTTTGTTAGAGCAATTTTGATTGGTTCACCAATCAAGGACACATCCTCTAACCAATTAAAGATCCGAACACACAGAGTTTAGGAAATGAAAAAGCTCCCTTAAAAAAACACACCGCAAACAATGGAATGTTACGTTGTAGTGTAGAACGCAACTGGTGGATGTTGTTCTGCAAATGAAAGTGAGATTGGTAAGTAAGGTTTCTTGTACCAAGATGCATCATGAAAAGGAAATATTTCTTAGGAATATCGCAGTCACTGAGTCTAGCACTGCACCAATATGTTTGCAAGATTGTCAAATGTCGAAGTTGAAGGTACCCATCCAAATCTCGAAGTGAATATTCATTGATTTAGATTTTCTTATCTTAATTCTTCACCGCCAGTTCAACTGGAGGTCATTAGAAGAGGCTCAGAAGAGGGTCTGAATTCATTCAGTATCTCACATAAGTATTACTCATTATCACTTGGACTGTTGAGAAGAAAATGACAAATGGATATTATTTGACCTTTGCATGCAATGTGCAAACATGGCAAAGAGCAAACCATGTGCTAGGCAGACCGTCCCTGGGTGAGACGTTATGACTAATTGGTTTTTCAGACACTGGTATTTCTTGATGACAGAGATGGTGATTTTGACTCATATTTTGGGTGGAATATTGATTGGTGAAGTAAAAGGTAGTAAAATAGACCTGGAAATTTCCCTGGTTGTCCGTGACAGGTGTTTGAGGAAGTTTGTTACATAAACCTTGATTTTATGAGAATTTTTTCCTTGTAAAATTTTAGTGGTGAAAGATTGCTTTTGATTATAGTATATAAATTTATACCTTTTAGGCAGAGATTGGTACTACAAGTAAAGGTTTGGCAGTATATTATATGTAGTGCTGCTGCCAGTGTATTTTGTTTAATTAGTCTCTTTACAATACATTTTAGGAAACAAGTGAGAATGAGCTCGACGTGTCTTTCCGCATTGCCTGGGGCTCGCTTTCATAATTACCATGGACAAAATATTCGCCTTTTTGAAGACAATTCAGTTGCATTTCGGGAAAGCAGTTTTGCACATGCAATCAGTTTTAGTGAAAAACCTCTTCAACCAGGAGAAATATTCCTGGTTGAAATAGAAAAAAATGAGCGTGGGTGGAGTGGACATATGAGAATAGGATTAACACAACACGATCCGAATGACGGATTTGAACTGCCACAATATGCCCTGCCAGACTTATCCAATTTAGGGAAATCATGGATATTTGCTATCACTAAGTCCCACAACCGTGTATACTCAGCTGTTGAACTGGATGATGAAACAAGTGACGATCACAGACCCAAGTCAATACTTGGTGAAGGGGACTATGTTCACACCAGTAAAGGCACCTTTAAAAACAGTTTACTTCGTCCTGTGCCCAGACAAGGGGTGTCGCTACAGGACACAGACGAGAGTTTTCTCCCCACTGACATAGGTAGTCGTATTGGTGTGGTGTATGTGTTGACAGGGGAAAATAAGGCAGATATGCACTTTATAATCAATGGGGAAGACCAAGGTGCTTGTGCAAAGGACATACCATATCAAGATGGCCCTGTTCATGCTGTGGTGGATGTTTATGGGACCACAAAACAAGTCAGGATCATCCAGTTATATTCAGGTAAAATTCAGGGCTCATGATCCCTGCTTGATGAGCACTAAATTAATTTCTTTTGTAGATTTAAAACATACTGATTAGCAAATGTGCAAATCTAAAATTGTAAAAAGATATTCAAATGGTAGCAATTTCAGGTACTAGTAAAGGCATTTGGAATTTTAAAGCTAATTTTTGTATGCTGTGTTTTTAGTAATACTAAGAATTCGGTGGAATAAAAGTAATGATAAATTTTTAAAAGAAAACTGCAGGTGCATATTTTAATTGTAAATCTTACATAATGTTGTTTAATGAACCAAATTATATTATGAAATGCATATTTTTTCTTTCCAGTGTCTACTCTTCAAGATGTGTGTCGTGAGGTCATTCTGAGGAACACTCGATCTGATAACATTACAAGGCTTCCTTTGCCCAAGAAAATTAAAGAATTCTTGAGATTTGAAATATGAGCATAGAGTCTTATGTATCAGTTAGTACCAGTGGTGTGTGAGTTCAGCAGTGCCTGGAGTGGTGCTATATTGCAGAAAAGTAAACCAATGCCATAAGCATATTTGTGTCAATGTCACGATTATCAAGTTGAATCATATTAAGTGAATAGAAAGTAAAAGAGTGTAAAAAGGTTGATTAAAGAAATGTGTACTTCTTGGATGACCTCTAATGAGAAATCGTGTCGCATAAATGGTAAAAAAAAAAAAAAAGCTGTGACCTGTTATGTTCAGTACGTACAACCTCAATTACAGCTGTTGGCAGATAAAGTAGGTTATATTTTAACAGAACTCGTTTGAACAATACAGAAAAAAGTTATATTTTAACAGAACTTGTTTGAACAATACAGATCAACAGTGTGTACATATTGGAAAAGTACTAGAAGCCATCGTTTAGTGTGCACTATAATACTAAACTTTCTTTCTCTGATGAGTTATTTCTATGCCATGTTCATATCTATATTTCATTAGTTTCTGTGTATTTTTAATTCAGTTTGAAGCCTTATGTTTGTCATGTTAGTATGTGAGCATTAGAAGTGATATTAAGATATCACTATGATGATGTATAATCCCCCACCCCCTCATCAAGCCCCAGGATAGCTTTTATAATTTTCAGTGTTACTATGCATATCTGAAGTCCCATAAGCATCTTCATTATGATGGAAAATGTTCTCTTCTTCTATATTTTCTCTGATAACATGAGATACATAACATTATACCCATTAGTGCGAAATTTGCTAGAGTATGCAGTCTTTTATTGTGTTAATTCTCTTGTAATAAGCATATTACCTTTTCACAAAATCCATGATAAATTTACAGAATATTTGGATTAAGTCACAAGGATGTTTTCTGCATATGGAATTGGTTATAGCACTTGGCTGAGATTTTATTTGCATAAAACGCTTAGTTCATGAGGTTTATTATTGTAGTTATTGCATTTTATGCAGGCTTTTTATCATGGTTAATGGCAAAAGTATATTACAATTATGAAGTAGGAAGTAGCGGGGTTCTTATTCATAATAGTGCTGTTTAAAATACATAGAACTTTGACAGATAGACTTTGGCAAATGGCTTTCTTCTCAACATGATGTATTTTGAATTATAGTTTAATTAATTTCAGAGATATATCTTCCAATTTTTTTTTTCATTTTCCCCCACATCCTTTAAAAATGTGATGTTGATGCTGGCATCCTTTCTTCAGTGTTTAAAAGTGATGATTTCTTGTAAACAAGCTATTGGTTCAATTGCTGTTAGAAATGATTGCTTAGAAAAGGAATTCTATAACCTATTGGTAACCACCAGTCAAGACTTCATGGATAAGCTGCTTGTTATTAAGTGTATGGGCAAGTTTCTGTGCTACAGGAGGTATTCTTGCAAATAGATTGTGCAATAAATACTGTGTAATGAGTTCTGTAAATTTGTGGTTTCTATTTTGTCTGTTTTTATGTACAGACACAGTATGCCTGTACATAGGCATCATACTCATCACCTGCTTGTGGTAGAGTAACAGCTTCTTCTGAAGATCTAAAATAAAATCTATCTCAACGTTAGCAATCAACTTTTCTAAATGCTAAATCAGCTTATCTAAATTACAATCTTTTATTGCCTTCTCAGCCCCTTCCCCGGTAGATTTCTTTTCCAGTTCCCTAATAAAAAAGAAACTTCTGAGAGTTAACACCTCCTCAATCTGTCATCTATACTGTTAAGACACTGCACTGTGTTCAGCACTATTCGCCAGTGCCTGGATTATGATGTCCCTGAGCAGAGTCGCCTGTAGGTGGCTGTTCTGTTACCATGTCGATATGTGCCAACATGTTGGCGACCAGTTTCATAGAATCTACACCACCCAAAAGGTGGCTGAAAGGAAGAGTAGGTAAAAAATTATATATCAGATTCTAAATGTATGTATTTGGCGGAATGGAGAAGTAAAAAAATGACTGAAATTTCTCTCATCCTTTAAACATCTTGAATCGGCTCCCGATTTTATCTCTGTAAGTGTATTTATATAACAATATGTTTGTTTATTTATGTATTTTTTATTGTTTAAAATATTTATTATTTTTGCTTATTTAATTCTAAAATTGTTCTGTAACTTTTGCTGTGCATATTCATAATAATGTTCGAATGATAAATCTGTGTCGGTATTGTATCTTTTCACTTGCAAGATCTCTGCAAACAACCTTTGTCCAAAAAGTCTATGTTATTTGGTAGGGGTGACAGTTAGGCTTCGTTCACATGCAATGTCTATTTTCTAAATTCTATTTTCTATTTGCGGCATGTCTCATGATCACGGTCTGTGCACTGAATATCCCGCCGCGTAATTACTGGCAGCGCGAGCCAGTTACTATAAGTTACTATAAGTAACTGGCTCGCGCTGCCAGTAATTACGCGGCGGGATATTGAGTGCACAGACCGTGATCATAAGATAGCGCGAATAGAAAATAGAATTTAGAAAATAGACATTGCATGTGAACGAAGCCTTACTCAGAATCTCCTGTACTGCACTGGTTGCCCTGTGTGCTATCCGCTATATACCTTGCAAATACATTTCCATTATGGACAGACGTTGTCGGTCTTCACCATTCTCTTTCCTGAAATTTTACTCACAAACACACTGAAAGGAAAATGGTTTTACTATTTGTTCTCACACTTGAACAAATGGTTAAAAGGACTCAAGTTCAAAAACGTAACTGAAATGGATTTTTTCTTTAAGTAATGAAAACAAATATTATTGGATTTTTTTCTGGAATTTTTTTTTTTCGTGAATTAATATTTTTTCACAAATTGACATTTTCCAGGTGTGCAACTGAAGTAACGTTTTAATTTTACTGCTTCTGTCAGATTTGACATATAGATCTGTCCATTTAGAGCCTATCTGCCTTGTTTGATTGCTTCTTTTTGAAAATTTCATGTAGTCATTCTCATGGATGGATATCCAAGTGACTGCTGTACTTTAAACTAAAATGGTATAACATAAAAAATCATTTCTGTAAATAATATCTTTATTCAGCATTCTTATTTAAGTCTGACGATTCTTAAAATATAAATAATCTTGATACTTATGACTTCATGGAAGCGTAAAAACATGAGAGCTGACAAGTTTTCAATACTTTTAAATCATACAAACATTTTTAAAGGGAAAATTAAGCCAACTCTGCATGCAATGTCCACACTTTTGACAAACTTTACAAGAAAGTAGGAAAGACCAAAATGGTAAAAATTGTGATGCAAAAATTTCAAGCTATTCAAGGTAAATGGCTTGATTTCACAGTTGTGCATTGCCCAATATCTCAGTTGTACAGTATGAATAAATTTTAAACAACAAGATGATGGTAATGAGTCGGGTATCTGTCAAGTCACTTTGTAATCAATTCAGTGTTAAATTTAAGGAAAACCTGAAGGACAAAACAGAAAGAAATCTCAAAATCAACTTGTCATCAGCACCAAGAGTATCATTCTACATTTGCCTCCACATTCAGACTGTAGTTATTTCTAAATCATATTAGCCCTGCTTAAAAAAGAAAAAAAGAAAAAAAAACATACCAAGATTGTAATATCACATTACAGCAGTGTGACAAACTTAAACCATAAAATTGAAATATTGAAAGTCTGCCTGGGAATAATTTTGATTTCATAAACAAAACAGCATCATCCATAAAAACAGATTATTGCCTTCTCAGCCCCTCCCCCAGTATATTTCTTTTCCAGTTCCCTAATAAAAAAGAAACTTCTGAGAGTTAACACCTCCTCAATCTGTCATCTATACTGTTAAGACACTGCACTGTGTTCAGCACTATTCGCCAGTGCCTGGATTATGATGTCCCTGAGCAGAGTCGCCTGTAGGTGGCTGTTCTGTTACCATGTCGATATGTGCCAACATGTTGGCGACCAGTTTCATAGAATCTACACCACCCAAAAGGTGCCTGAAAGGATGAGTTGGTCAATATCATCATACACACATATTAGCAACACTCCTAATACAATAACATACAAATTTAAAGTTTGAAATGTTGATATTCTATATTGAGATGCTATGCCTTTGTTCCTGAGATGATTTCCAACAATTACCAACACCATAATTTGGCATAGTTTTCTATTCAAAATTTATGGGCATTAAGTTCTGTTTATTTTTATTTCAGCTATTCTACATCACACAATTTTAACAATGATCATGTCAAATTTTTATCCAAGTAAAAAAAAAAAACTTTTTTGATACAAAAACATTGTCTTCTTCACATTTACCTGCACTTCAATAAATTTAAAACTCCTAAAAAGCACTTACTTAAGTGAAAGTTCAGCATTGGTAGCAGCAGCTTTAATTTGTTCTGAGGCATATCTGGCTTTTTCTCTCATTGCACCATGTAAATTGTCCCCTGACCGCAGAGCTGTGTTCTCTGCTGTTAACGATGAGATCTGACCCTGAATAACAGAGGTTTTTGTAAAATAAAATTTTGGTGAAATAGCTTTTTTCCAGCATCTCTCAGCTTCATACGTAAAAAGTCATTTATTCTCTTCAGAAAAAAATTCATCTTTTAAGATCCTAGTATTATTGTGCAGAAGTGTTAAAACCACTGACATATTGTGAGGCACGTTTTATTTCCTACAGTATTCGAGTTAAAATGAGACATTTTACCTGTAAATTTTTGAAGTCTTGCTTTAAACTGGCCACTTTACTCTCTGCCCGCACAGCTCTTTGCTGTAAAAAGGAGATTCAGAGAAAATCAAGTGCCAATGAGTAATATTATTATTATTAACAACACAAATTGCATCATTAATAATCAACCATAACATTTGGTTATCACTGACCAAACCATGAAATCCCAAGCCTATTTTATGACCTTCGTTCATATTTGAAGTTAGCAAATTTAATTTAAACTCTGATTATCAACTGTTAAAAGTAATACTGATTAAATATATCTGCTTATTTTAAATGAAGATACATCTACTTTATCCTTTTGTTTCATAAATCTCACAAACATATCACTTTCTTACTGTTGTAGTTTCAAGATTGGCCTCCACTTGTTGTACCATTTTCTCCAAAGCAGCTGTCTCCTCACTCTCACGTTTCTGTGTGGCTTCTTTTTCTTTCAAAATTTTGGCAACTCTGTAAAATCAAGGTAGTTATTAAGAAATATATTCAACTAATAATCAAAAGAATGAAATACAAAGATTTGCATGCCAAACTGACACCTCTATTTCATTAACATGACGAAAGCAACTTGATGAAAACCTCACTTTATTCTTAATAAGAACAAACTTTAAAGGTATAATCATAAAAAATTTTAACTACTTATTTCAAAATCATATTTTGCCATCAAATTATAAGATTCCCAAAACTGTGCTGACAAAAGATCGCAAACTTTTATTTTTCAAGTATAACAAACAATATGTTGGTAATCAGTTTAGGCCAAGTTCAACGCGTACTATTAACTACCAAAGCCAAATACCAACTGAATTTGACATATACAGTAAATTTTCTTATTAGTCAAATTCTTGTTTATCTTGAACACATTATGTGCAACATTTTTTGGCAATGTATAAACTGAAACTCATGAAATTCATGCAAATTTACTCCTTGTGTTACTCGAAACATATTTTCTGATTCTACAGCCTACTGCACAATGTAAGAAATCATGCAGATATGACAAGGGTAAAACTATGGATATAACATAAAAATGATTACCTTCTTGACTCAACCTCTGCCTGTTGTCTGGCATCCTCCAGTTGTTGTCTGAGAGCAGCATTCTCCTGTTGGAGCTGAAAACAAAATGAAGATATGACATGTGACAAAACTACAACAAGAGCAAGTGTTAAAGCAACAACAAAAGAAAATCTTAAAGTTCATCAAAAGCATACATCCTAGATTTCAGCAGTATTATCTAAAATGCAAGCTAAAGCTGTTCAAATGTGAGGCAGGCTTTAAGCACATAAAAAATCAGGCACAGTGAGCAATTTTCATTCATGACTCTACCACTGCTGTATCTTTTTCACTTAAAGTTCTAAAATTCCAATTTCTGAATTCAATATCTATTATAATAAATCCAAAACTTTGAGAGAGTTACCCACCCTCCTAACTTCTAACTCTAGACTTCCACTAGTAACATGATATGCTATACTGTCTCCATTGGGTAAGCCTTCTGTAGTCCAGTCCCCACCAAATGGGGGGCTTCCACCAAGAGCACTGTCCGATAAGAAGTCTGGTAAAGCAGCTTTTCTGGGAGAATTTCCCAAAATTAAGTCATTACTTATGCCCCCTGAGGCACCTGTCTCTGCAGCATGCACATGCCCATTGACTGGAACCCTGTCTATTGGTGGATTAATATCCAATGGAATAACTGGATCTATATCCAATGGGATTGTTGGATTACTGTTAGTGCCACTGCCGTGGTCTATATTAGGACTAGGTAAATTAATAGCATTTGTCACACTGGTATCCAAGGCAAAGTCTGGTAACTCTAAGTCCCTGCCAGGTCTGTCTCTTAATCTCTGTCTATCAAATTGATCTTGCACAAAGTCTGGTAAATCGCTAGCGACATCTGGTGGCACTGAACTAAAGTTTCCACTTGAGTCACTCCGTGTATTTGGCCTTGAGGATGAACTCTGACCCTGAAGGAATTTCTTGAAGGAAAATGGGTTTCCCTCATCATCTTTTTTCTTTGTCTTATCTGAAAAATTAAAAACATTTCCAGTAAAAAACAAACAAACATAAAACATAAGGAAAAAGTAACTGTATGATATGGTCTGCCTCCTAAATACATACTATACCACAAGTATGCACTTCAAAGTAAAATATATATGTTGTTTCTGTAACATAACAAACCAACTTTCTTTATAATCTACACAATACTTAAAGATATACTATATGCACGTCTGAAAATGCCCGTAGCCACATTACCTTTGACCACATATCCTACAAAGCTACTTATTTTTCCCCAATTCAGATCTTGAAAAATGATAAAACTTTCAAATAAAAGTACCTTACGTCGATATCTCATTCCTTCATAACTCATGAAATTAAGTATTTATTCTTGTACGAAAATTCTCTCAAAAATAAAAAGGGAACATCATCGTCTTGGTTATGATGGATATTCCACAAAATTGAAATAATCATAATAATCAATCGACAATTAAATATATTAAAGTATAACGCCGTATATCAAGGAGACATTTCACATCAATGACTTAAATAAAAATGACTGTCATCAAAGTTTATCAAGTAGTGTACACATAGTCAGCTGATCAGTTTAAAAATACAATGTTGTGAATTTCACTTTTCAGGTCCACCCACCAACATGTTGATTTTTCTTGCTTTTATGACTTTCGGTAGATAAAGGAACATCGGGAACATCAAATATATCGAAGTCCTCTTCGTCATGGCCTCTAGGATTATTACTAGAGCTCCCTGCTTTAGATTTCTTCACGAATTTCTTAAATGAAAAGGGATTGTCTTCGTCGTCCTTGCCTCCTTCCGCCATGCTGGATGCTCGTTCTGAGCATGTGCAGGAAGTCCACAGCTTGACAGGTGCCCAGCAACTTCCGCTTTCAGATAGGTGCCGAAATGGCTTTATTTTCCAAAATTTATGGAGCTCTAGGGCGTAACGTTAGAACAGGTAATTAAACGTTTTATAATCAAGGTGTGTATGGAAGGAAATGAGCGAACAGCATTTTATATATCTAAAATGAGACGTGGGAAATCTGCGTGATAAGTAGGTCAAAGTTGTTATACAGTGTAACTCAAAATAAAAACTGGGTCAATCGTGTTTTGCTTGAACTTGAAGTTCACTAAAGTAGTTAATTGTTTAAAATCGCTGTATTGAAACTTTGTCAGTTTTGTGAAAATGAAGTTTTAGTAACATTTATTATAAGGTGAAAGGATTTGCTGAAGCGTTCGAATTTGTGTAAGAAATGATTTTTAAAAATTTTCAACTTTTTTAAAAAACTGGTGATCAAATAAAATAAAATTTTATCATTTTTTTGTCCAGTCATTTTTAAGCCCAAGAATTATTTGCCTTACATAAATGAATTTTCAGAAAAGCTGTTCAAACAATTTTTATACATAACCTCTAAGCTTATCAGTTGTTTGGTTAGATTGCAACTAATGGCTTTGTTTAAATAGAGCTTGTTCTCATGTTATTTTAGGTGCTATACGTTGTATGAGTTCTGCACCGCAAATGCCACCATGTGATTTTAAACCAGAACCATACCAGGTATGACCTACTTAATGCTTCAAGCGTTACCAGTCATAGCCTTGAAAAAAAGGAGGATAGAGGATTTTGTTCCCTGCATTTTAATCACTTGATCTGTATACAAACAGGCATGTACATAAATGCACATTTAAGCATTCATACATATGAACATCATATATGCACACACATACCCTTCACCACAAATATATGTGTTAAAGTGCACACACATGTACATACACACAGATGTGTGCATTCCCGCATATTACATGCACACAAAATACACACTGCTGTTCCGTTGATGATATAGGGATGCTGATGATGTCTGTAGCAGAACCAATTTCTTATGATAATATTTTTTTAAAATTTAGTCCTCTATCTTTTACTTTAATAATCTGTTACAAGTAACATTTCAAGTAACACGCAGCTGACATTTAAAAACACTTTGCAGATCAGAAAATCAAATATAACACCATCACATTATGGAACTTATGAAATTAAACTATAATTTTTATATACCATCATATCTATGCCACCTTATGATTTAAATCAGAAACATATCAGGTGTGGTCGACCTATTTAATGCTTCAAGTGATACCATTCGTAGCCTTGAACAAAAGGAGCATTTTGTTGCCTTCATTTGCCTCACTTTCTTTATCTGTATATACGTAGGCATGTACGTGCATACTCACACACATAACAGGCCCGTAGCCAGCAATTTCAAAAGGGGGTTCTTTTTCTGGAAAAGTGGACCTTTTTTCTGTAAAAACTTCATGTAACTAGATCAAATTTACCCAGAGTGGACCTTTTCCAAGCAAAAGGGCGGTTCTTTCGAACCCCCCGAACCCCCCCTGGCTACGGGCCTGCATAACCCTTCTCAAAAATACATTTGCTAAGAGTCATGCACTCTGAGACTCACACATGTATACACTCAGGCACACACAATATTTGTTTTACGTTTAGATCTCTTACTTTGGTACTTAATTAACTGTCACAAGTAGCATTTTTATCTACATGCACCAAACATATCAAAACATATCAAAGCAGCAGATGAGAAAATTGAGTTTAGATCCATCATCAGTGTTAGAAATTAATGCTGGACTGTCTGCCCGGGGCCGACAACTTTCAGAACGGGCTGAGAAGTTTTCCCACCATGTCTGCCAGACATTCGAGCCAGCTACTTTTGAAGATGGCTGAACTTTCGGTCCAGCAACTAATTTTCCTAAGAGGCAAACACTGTCCATCATATTGTTGAACTGTTTTATGAATTTCACATAAATCTACTGTTATATACATGTATATTTTAGGGGATTTCCTATGACAAAGCCAGAGAAGTTCGCCAGACCAAACTGAACCCTGGCATGTTTGTGTACTATAAGAAGCCAGTGATGATCCACCAGGGCCACATGCAGTACCTGTGGGATGTAGATGGGAAGAGATACCTGGATCTCTTTGCTGGGATTGTCACTGTCAGTGTGGGACACTGCCATCCGTGAGTAGACTGAGAAATTGGACACTACTGTATATTTCTAACTTAAAAGAAATAATTCACATTAAAATATATCTTGTCATTCTATGTTGCATGCTTTTCGTTGCAGAATTAAGTTGTGTACTTTGGTTTTGATTGTGTTCAGTGTTTTGCAAGCTTTTACAGACAAAAATAATTTCTTGTTCAAGTAAAATATTTCAGTTCTCAGTATTCAGCTAAACAGTTAGATATAGATATTTCCACCCAGATTCAGCTGGCTTTAACTGATTTGTTCAGGATAATGTCTGAGAAATGTGAAACACTAAATTTTACTATGCAGGTTTACCAGTCATTGAGAACAAAATGATTTTTTTTATTTTGATAATTGAATTATTTAAAAAATGGAATTATGCAGTAATAATATGATAAAAATGCATTCTGTAATTAATAGCATTTTATCATGTGCCCATTGGGAGTTCTTTATGCATGTTCTGTGCTTATATTTCAGTAAAACTCTGAAGGCTGCTGATGACCAGATGAAAAAACTGTGGCACACCACAAACATCTACTTGCACCCTGCAGTTCACCAGTATGCAGAGGAGCTTACTGCTAAACTACCTGAACACCTGTCTGTATGTATTTCAGGGTTCAGGGTCTTCCTTATTTTCTTTTTTTGTGGGGGAGGGGGGGAGGAGGAGAGGCAAAAAGTATAACTCTATCATTGCAAAGAGAAGGAATAAGATTCAGTTGCCAAGTGAATCTGTCAGTGCTTTGCCAGAAAACAGAAGGGCACTAGCATTCTCCATTAAATAATTGCTAACCCTGCATCCAGTGTTTATTGCCATTATGATAATAGAAAATATGTGGTATGTCAACCTTTCTTTTAGAGCGCATTCTCAACGAATTAAGCCAGGCTTTACAAAGCCGGTGACCTAAAAATGGCGGACGTACATGAAAGAAAAACCGCCTAATCTTTTAATAGTCTCTCCGCCTCCCCAATCGACTATCTACGGAGATAATATCACCAGAGATATTCACGGAAATATTAATGTTCGGAGCCGAGATTTAATTACTGTACCCCGCAGGGACGACGTGTGGGGAGGCGTGTGAGAGGCGGAGAGACTATTAAAAGATTAGGCGGTTTTTCTTTCATGTACGTCCGCCATTTTTAGGTCACCGGCTTTGTAAAGCCTGGCTTAATTGGTTGAGAATGCGCTCTTAGTCAGGATTTCCAGTCACAACCAACACTTATAATATTTAAGTCAGTACTCAAACTTCATTTCAGCCAGAGCAATGAGTCTGCATTCTTTTCACTTACTGGTGAACAAAAGGCCTATTTTTATAATTGGGAAAAAAAGCTTTTAGCCACTTGCAAAGTTTGGACATGCATGATTCTAAATAGCTGCACAGACTTGAAAAGTTAAAATTATTTCCCTAAATCTGGTGAATGTCTTTTTGTAGTGTTAGTCACTAAAGCATGAATTCTAGTTTTGTATAATTATTCCAGGTGGTCTATTTTGTTAACAGTGGCTCTGAGGCTAATGATATGGCTCTCCACATGGCAAGGCTGTATAGTGGATGTTATGAGGTGGTGGGTTTGAGGTGGGTGAAAGTTTGAAATGGTGGGATTGGTTGTTACACTATAATGATATCAAGTGGTGGGTTAGAGCTGGGTGTAGCTTTCTTTATAACCTAGAACATATAGCAAGGATGTTAGATGGTGGGTTTGAGGTGGGTTTCTTTTATTTCATCTGGTATCCCTTTGGAAATGAGTGGTGGATTATTGGTGGGTGCTTGTTTGGTAATGCTATGAAGTTGTAGATTTGAGAAATTAATTGAAAATGCAAAAGATGTAAACAGAATATTGTCAGGCCGACTGGTTTGAATATAACATATGCTAATATGTTAAAAAGCTCGTAAATATTAGATTATAGTTGAAAGAACTTTGCAATACTTTATATGTTATTTCGTGAATTAAGATTGAAATGTGGTAGTCAGTCTATTTTTGAAAGTTGATATCTTATGCTTTGGCTGATGTATATTTGTACTTTCTTCTTTGAAGATTATTTCAGTGACATTAAAAATCTTAATGTTTAATGTGAGGTCTTCTCCCACTCATATGAAAAAGTGGATAAACCTCTGACATTTGTTTAAATTATTTTTATTAATCCTTTTGCTCACTTTTTGAACATTCCAGGAATAACAAGGCATGTTTTATTATTGTATAGGTCATACTTTTGTGTGTGTGTGTGTGTGTGTGTGTGTTTTCCTTATTGCTAATTCCATCAATCCATTCATTTATCAATTAGTATACTCATTTTTTTGTTGATCATTTGTATTTGTTCATTTGATAATTTTCAGGAATGCCTATCATGGTGTGAGTCCCTATGTGATAGGTCTTACTGCTCACTCCACCTGGAGGTACAACATGCCTGCTGGATTTGGAATACATCAAGTAGGAATTACTTGTTGGCATGTGTTTTAACTTGTCAGTCAAAATGATTAACAGTCAAAGTCAGCATTTTCTGATCCTGTAGATATTTTGATATATTTTATACACTTCACTTTTCCTTGTATTTGTTAAGGAATCTAACATCTTAAGTTTATGGCAAAATTAACGTAAACCTTAAAAATTAATCTGGAAAAAATTATTAGATATATATCTTTAAAGAATTAAAGTTAATTTTGAATTTAGAAAGAAAAGTAGAATCAGAAGTGCAATTGAAACTGTTTAATGAGGTATTCTATGCCAGTACAGCATTGTCTTGGCCTTCAAAAACTATAATTTAAATGTTACAGCTGTTAGTTGCATGTTGTCATGGTGTACATTGGTACTGCTTTGGGTGTAGTTGACTTAGCTAATTGAAACAAAGAAACTTACTCATAAGTAATTTTGTGAATAAAATTGTTTTTTGAGGCAAGTCACTTGATTTTACTCTCTATGTTATAGGCAATGAATGCAGATCCATATCGTGGAGTATGGGGCGGCAAGCATTGCAGGGACTCACCAGTTCAGGTATGTCATTGGTGATGGACTGATTGACTGATACATTTGATAATAATGATAAGAATTATAATAGGACAGAAAAAATTATTATTGATACAGAGAAAAATATTATTAATGCTTTCAGACCAACAGAAGCTGCTCCTGTGCTGAGGGGGCATGTGAAGCAGTGGACAGGTACATCCATGAGCTGGAGGAGGTGATGAGGTACACCATGCCAAAGGGGAGAATTGGAGCATTTTTTGCTGAATCAATCCAGGTGAAAATATTCATTTGTATTCATTCGTTGTTCTGTTCCATGCTCTTGAGCAGTTGTTGACATTCTAGGTAGGGCAGGGTCTAATTAATAAGGTAGTTGGAAGACTTACTGCAGATTATATTTTCATAGCAAACTTGGTTTTTAGGAGTTATGTTAAAAATTTTTATAGTTTTAAATATTTTTGTGGCATAAACTAAACTCACTCATTAAATTTCCATCATTTTTTTCAGAATGATTAACAGTTTGGAAAATTTGATTAATTGATCTTAATTGAAAATACTGATTATTTACCATTCAAACATGTTCTCTCTTCCAGGGAGTAGGAGGCACAGTCCAGTTCCCCAAGGGCTACCTGAAGAAAGCATTTGACTTGGTGCACAGTAAGGGGGGAGTGTGTGTGTCAGACGAGGTCGGTGGCTTGACTTGATAGGGTTAAGTTTTAGCAAGTACATAAGACACATTTCTGTAAAAGTTTATTGAGGGGAAATGCATTATTAATGTAATTTGACTTCATAGTCAGGCAGAATGTGTATCAATGTGTGTTGAATTTTTGAAAATTATTTGTGTTATGTATCATTTTACATACATATGTATGTGATTATATATATATGTATGCTTGTCTGAATACATGTAATTATAAAGACCCATCATACTGTTTTCTTATGTATTACAAAACAAAAATCTGTTATTTTTGTTAAAAGTGTATTTTGTTTTGGCTCTAGGTACAGACAGGATTTGGACGTCTTGGCTCCCATTATTGGGGCTTTGAAACTCATGGGGTCAAGCCAGATATAGGTAAGTACTGGACATTGATCTTGGGGATAGGATTGAGGAGCAGTCCTTGAAAGGCAACACGAAGTCTGCAAGAGGAAAAAATGGGTTAAAAGCTATAAACAATTTGTTGTTTAATTTCAGTCACCATGGCCAAGGGCATGGGTAATGGCATCCCCCTGGCAGCAGTAGTCACTACTCCAGAGATCGGCAAAGTAATGGCGGAGGCTCTCCATTTTAATACCTTTGGCGGGAACCCAGTCTCATGCGCAGTTGGATCTTCTGTTCTTAAGGTAGGCTATAGGGCAGTTCTTAAGGTAGGCTATAGGGCAGTTCTTAAGGTAGGCTATAGGGCAGTTCTTAAGGTAGGCTATAGGGCAGTTCAGGTGGGGGATATGTAAAAACAGTTCATGCTGGAAATCATGTCACTGCATCACAGGTCTGTCAAATATTTGCAGAATCACCTGGCATAAGTGCCTGTGTTACTGATCCAGTGATAGCACAGGTTAATTTATAATCCATTTCCATCTAGTCAGATATTTTACTCTTTAGGTGACATCAGCAAGCATTGTAGCTTGGTTGTCGTAGTTTTTAGAAGTTCCTGGAAATCCGTAACATATTCTTGCAGAAGCATGGTAGAAATGATTTTGTGATTTTGTTAAAATTAAATGAAAAATGACCATACTTAATGAGTAAATAAAGCTAATAGACTAAAGTCTGTATAAACACACACACACACCCACACACACACACCCACACACACACACACACACACACATGGCCATTGCTAAAATTTTTCAAACACCATCTTTTTAAAAAGGTCATCATTATCATTTTCAGACAACAGTATACTTTCTTATAAGTAACCAACTAACTTTTCAAAACTTTTTAAATCAACATTTTAAAATAAATACCAACAATTTTTAGTGTTTTGAACACTATGATTAATTACCTCTTCCATTCTTGTGCTCCGTTTACAGATCATTGATGAAGAGGGTCTACAGGAGAACTGTGCTGTGGTGGGGACGCACTTCTTGGAAGGCCTCGCCAAACTACGCGACCAGTACGACATCGTAGGAGATGTGAGAGGGAAAGGACTTATGATTGGAATTGAAATGGTCACTGATCAGGTATGGGGGCGAGGAAATTTTGAACAGTTTGAGAGGGTCAGTAAAAAAGACTCAGAAGATCAAAAAAACTTAGAGAATATTAGTAGAAAGTTGCAAAAGATTTATGGTAGCTAGGAAGTAAGTTAGTCACTGAGGAAATGAGGAATTGTAATGGTCACTGATTATGTGTGTGTGCAAAGTCATTATCAGAGGTTAAAAGGAGGAAGACAGCCCATCAGTCTATTATTATAAACCTTTGAAAGATATAAGCTTTCGACCCTTTTTTGTACTAATCAAATTTTAATATTGAATGATTAACGCAGTTTAAAATTTCTTTTTATTTTGTCTTATATACAGTTTGCATACCTAATGTGGAAGTTACCAAGATGTGTCTATTTTCCAGGCATCTCGCACTCCACTTCCTGCAGACAAGATGGCTACCATTTGGGAGGATACCAAGGAAATGGGTATTCTGATAGGAAAAGGAGGATTCTACGGAAATGTGAGTTTAAAGGGATAACAACTCTTCGTATGAGATCAGTAAATACATTGTAAACAACTCATAGATTCTGAAATATAATATATTCTTTTTTACCACAAAAACGACAGTTGTAGCAATAGATCTGACATGTGCTTGCCATCGGACCACATGACCTCCATAGATGGCTAGAGATTATTACAAAAAAAAAATTGTTAGAAAAAAACAGGGACTAACTTTGAATGTAGAAATGGATTCGTTAACCATTGGTAAGTATAGAAAAATTGCAGTTTACACCAGGAAAATTCATTTTTTGGCCAAAATAAACAGTTGCTATCCCTTTAACTTGTTTTATTTTACTTAGAAAAACATGCATAGCATGACACCTATAATCAATTGTTACCCAGAGTAGTGACAAAAGACTGAAGAATTAGATAGTTTTGAATGTAAAGATGTACATGAAAAATTTATTTAGAACTTATACAAAAATACCTCTCTAAAACCAGACACTTTCCTATAATGTACTGAAACTGAAAGTCCCAGTCCTGTCTAACATCAAAGAACAGCATATGCATATAACAGGCTTAGCTTTTAACTGACAAAAATAAGTGGTCCAATTCAGTAAGCTATATGCAAGATCTACTGTAAATATTATTTATTTTGAAATGAAGAAATGTTTTGAATTATATTCAAAATACATGAGTAATTACTGTTTCTATTACAGCATCTCTCAGTTAATACTCTTGCTTCTTTTTGCAGGTGTTTCGTATCAAGCCACCAATGTGTGTCACCAAAGCTGATGCTGATTTTGCCCTTGGTGTCTTAAACCAGGTGTTTGAGAAACACAGGGATATTGGCAAGCAGTAGGTCTGCATTTTGACTGAAGGAAGTATCTCAAAATATATTTTCAACTTTCAACACAAAATATTTTATGCAGTGCTTCTTTATTTTTGCTTTATTAGATTAAGTAATTGATGCCAAAACCAATGTACTCAAGGTGTTAAGGCAATACTTGAGTTCAGCTCAGAAACTTTGAATTCCATAAATAGCATCTGAGGATTGAAAGGTGTTAATTACGAATCAAAATGTACTTTAAGGTCAGCAAAATGACTTTTTTATCCTAACTTGTAAGTGTTTGTCATTGTTGTTAATGATAAGATGGTAATTTGATGTTAAGGGTAAGAGGAGTTGTTGTGTTTACCTGTAAAAGAGATAATTAGTCAGTACTTTTGTTTTCTTTTTAAGTATTATTCTCTATTTTATCTGTATTTAATCAAGGTATATGATAAGTGCAAATACATTCTAATCAAAAACATACATCACGAGCACATTTAACAGAACTTGCGCACTGAGTATTTTGTAAATTTGTACTATACTCCATAATACTACTCTGTAAAAGATTATACTGGTAGATTACATATTTAGATAATGTGGATATCTAAGAATCAGGGACTTTCAAATCATTGTAACTTGGGCTTAGATCTGCTAAAGTATGTACAGTTAGTACTTAAGAAAAAAACGAAATTGATTACATTTGCCCAAAGTTATATTTTGCTGGTAATGAAGAGTGTGAAAGTTCTAGCAAGCTGATCATATGCCAGAAAGTAGGTTTATGTAATTAAAAGATAAACACATATTAAATTGAATGATGGAATAATACTGTAGATTGTTTAAAACAGTATGAATACATACTGTATTTACTGGTATGATGACCACTAATCCATCAACATTAAAACTAATGGATTTTCATACCATAATTGTCAGTAAGTCTGCATTTATATTGGTTACAAGATGAGTGGATAAGGGGTCAAATTATTTTAACTTAGAGATAACTGCTCAATATCAAATGCCAGTATATAAGTATTTCTTGGTCAAGAGTCTGTTGAGGGTGGTTTAAGTCGTATTTCAAGTCAAGTTGGGTCAGTCCAATTTAGCAGGCCTAGGCAGTCTCTGGGGTAGCGCTATCAATTTCTTTTGGTTAGCCAAATCACCATTTTTTGTCAATTTGTTATCAAAATGGTTATAATTTGACTAAAACATGCCAAATCAAGCCCTTTGTCTTTAGCAAATTTAAGTAAGTTTTAGCATTTGGCTAAATTGGCGAGTGTTATCCCTACCCCAGAGTCTAATTATGGTGATCTCACGACCGAGAGCAGATCTAGTCCCTATTCACTGGCAGGGTCATTGAGGTAAGCCTACCTCTGAGCCATTAGAATGGCTTCCTGTAGTAATCTAACTCAGTATAACCCATCTCAGTTAGAGTGACAAGTATTTATAGACCTTGTTGGAATGTCTGTTCACATCAGAACTAAGTTGGACCAGACTTATTTACTTCTTTACACAAAGATACCAAATGCAACTTTTCTTGAAAAAAATACTGTTCGTATACTTGCTCTACCTTCATTGTATAGTATCATGATGAATATAGGTGATTTTGATAATAATTAATCAAATGGTGCTAATAATCAGCAATAATTAAGCCATTATGAAATTTACTTTTATATAGGGTGGGTATATTTTTGTATGTGAATATTGACAATGAAATTTATAGATCATTACATATATATTGCAAATGTTTAGCCATATTATTTGGAAAATTGGAATATTATTATATTAGTATGTCAGAGTCAGTTTAATTACTTGTGATAGTATCCTTATATGTTTCACATAGTTTGTAGAGAAACATTCTCCCACAAGCACCTGTTGATCCACGAACTAACTGATACTCGGATCAAGTATGGTGTGACCCACTAGCAAGCATGCCATGGAATCCCCTAATGATTTAAAGAGTGAATTGCTCTGCCCTTATAGGGGCGGCATGCTACAGAGGCCAAGAATTCATTAGGGAATTATGCGGTGTACTTTCAAGTGTGCACCATATTTGATCCACAGATCAGTTAGTCCACAGATCAACTTGGATGTGGACACAGCTTAAGAGGATTGCTTTCAATCACAGATTAAGGCCTGAATCATGTAGAGTGAAATCTGCTGTATGCTTCCACTCAAGGTAGATGGCTAAATTAATATTGAGTCTATGTTGATTTTATACAGATTATATTAAAAACTATGCAGGAGTTGAATTTTTTGTGTTCAAGACAAAAAATTTACCATGTATTATGGTGCATAATTATATGCATTTATTACTGCCTTTCATTTTAAATAAAATAGTTTTTGGTCTTCCTGGGGAAAATGGTCTGTGTCAGTGATTTCCCGTTTTATAAAAGATTGATATCATTTGACCAGAAAAAATGACTTAAGAAAATGAAGGTTTTAATATTTTGGTTTATTTATTAAAAGTGCCTTTATGTTACTTACTTTATAAATTGTAATGTTAAAGAATCATCCTATATTTTTTCTCAAACCAAAGTGATGGGTTTGTTCCTAGTGCAGTAAAACGCGACAAAGACGTTCTGAGGCAAATTGAAAATGCCCCTAATAATAATTTCACTAAATTCAGCAGCAATAATCGGTCTAAGGTCATCCAGTGCTCTAACACAGGTTTTGTTATCTGTAATCCTTTTGCCTTCTGGTTAAATTGGAGACTGGACAATCAATAAATCAATATATTCGGAGAATATATTTTAAATATCGCATCGCTTTCACCTGCTCATAAAAACCCAACAGGTAATTGTGTTAGGAGTGACGGGGCGACGACAGTAGTGCTGGCTATTGAGTAAAAGTCGATTGCGAGAGTTGAGACACAAACTGCCAAGTGTGGCATACGGCAATACAAAATAGCACAGAAATTATACTTTTTAAAATAGCACTTCTAAAATAAAACCATTTGAATTAATGTATGAATAAAATGATAACCAAACGCACAAAGAGACGAATTAACCGCCGATGATCCCTTTGCTTTCTTCTAGACAAGTAATTTTCGACAGACTCTTTTCATTCAATGATAACTTTGAAATCTAAAATCATTTTATATACAACGGTCGCTAAGGTTAATATAACAACGAATATGCAAAGCAAATATGTTAAGCAAATGGATACTTTTAAAATTCACTACAGTTAAATCCAACTTGAATTAATTTGAATCAGCAAGGACAGTAGCTTAGGCTACCGGGTATATCTACCCCTGTACTACTGAGTATATGGCGCCATGCCATATAGGCCAACTACCAGTAAATTGCGTTCAACAAAATGTGCCATCTTCTTGTCGGGTTTATTTGAAAAAAAATGTCATGACCACGCTTTTCCTTACGTTTACTCCTATGTCATGGGGCTTTCTTACGACTGCTGATATAATCAAATGGTGCCCTAGGCGACTCCAATGTCAACATTAGAAATAGCAAGGACTACCTTAAACCCTTCTTCTAGCTGCTGCCGTGCTGGCAGTTGATGTTATTAACTTTGATGTACAGCAAACATGATGCCTTGTGTCCTAGGCATCTCATTATTGTATCTTAATAGCTGGCGTTGCTAGGGCTATGCAGTTGCACCCAAGTCATACGTATCCTCTACCAAGGGGCGCAGATTTTATTATGTGTACATTTCTGTAACTCTAACACTATATATGCAGAAAATTACCATCGTTTATCTAGGGACATATCTGTGAATATCTAGTAAAAAAATCTATCCGAGGCCCTGAAATAGGGTATATGTCATACAAGGTTGTTTAGGGCCTCCTCTGAGTCCTGTGGTGAGAATTGGTCTTTCCAGCGCTAGCACGCAGATTCTTCACCAGTGCGGGAGGAGGCGCTTTGGGCGCTCTCTGGAGGCTCAGAAATGGGTCCTGGCGGGGAACTGGATGTCTGCTCACAAATCCCTGTGCTTGATGTAGCGCTCTTGGTTGACCGTTCCTCCCCCGAAAGAAGTCACAGTGCTCCCCGAGAGTGCGCATGGCGGTCGCCCTGTGTCCTGCATTGAAGGAACGCTGGGCGCCCTCAGGACGGTGAGATCCACGCTGTGGCCTCACCTCGGTGTCCCCTGGAGTGACTGGGTGACCCAATGGTGGTAGTGGTTGGGGGCGCGGATTGCTAGGGCGGTGAGGGTGGTGATTCAAAGGGGAAATACATGGTAAACCCTGAAGAGCTGGACCACGTGTGGACATAGGCATAGTGGGAGGGGTTCTCCGTTGATCATCCACGATGCCAGGGAATCTTGATCTTCCAACCCTATCCCTACTGAATGATAAATTAAAGACTATACCTACCAGATCATATGTTTAAAATGATATCGATGTGACTTATTATATTGATGTTATTTACATGTTATCAAATATTGCGCCTTGCAAAGTTGTTGATAAGGTTTTCAGTGCGCATTTAGACCTAATGTTGTATATTTACAGAAGGTAAGCTGAACTGAATATTTAAAAACAATTATGTACTTACTTTTCAGCTAAATATTTAGAAATATAATCGTTCAAGTTGCTCATTTTAAAATCGCAGTTGATAAAACAAACTCTCTGTTAGTACTCAACCTGTCCAAAGTTTGGGTTGCGGTTGAATGAATGTGACGTCACAATGTGCGAGAATACCACACGCACGCTAATATGGAAAAGGAAAATAATCTAAATCTGAAGTATCGTTTCAAGATGTCTTTCTTGAAAAACAAAAGCTTATCAAGCAATCAATTATTTATTTTGAATAGAATAATTCGTTACCCCAGCCATCTCGCGTACCTGCTATTATAAATCCTTTGAACATTTTTTCAGACATGCGCTACTACTGGGTGCAACTGTGACGTCACAAAGCTTGCTAACACCTAGAACTATTTTACCATGATCTCTAGCCATCACCTTTATTTTCATCACTATGAAATGGGAGTAGTATATTCCATTCAAATTGAATCTGAATACGTCTTTATTTCTTCCGTGCCATAAAATAACTTTTTAAAATCTAAACATGGAACAGTTGGCTACTTCCAATATCTCTGATATTCGTTATAATAACAGTCAAAAAACATTATTTTGTCACTACAGGCTACAACTGTGACGTACAAAAATATTGAAAAAAGACTTGGATGGACTATAATCAATTACATTGGATTTCGAAGCATTTTGGATTTTCATATCATTAGATGAATCAATTATGTAAAAGAGAAGAACTGACGATCTCCTCAACCTCGTAAGTTCGTCATCATAACCATTTAGACCGTAAGTAGTTGCAGTGCCTTGGTGGAACTACGGATACAACTGTGATGTCACAAAGCTGGCCAACAGTCCCGTTTCACCAAATTTGATGAAAAAAAAAACGTTGGTTGTATGGGATATATCATCCAGGAAAATGATCTTAAACACTCTCACTCTGAAAGCCGAGGTCCAATTTATCTTATCTAATACTTAAATAAAACATTTTAGATAATATTTAAATGGACTCTGGTCCAGTTACTCAGCAAGACCCCTTTAATTGTTTAAAATACTCGCGATAATGATACACTATGACACAACCGCACTTTCGGTATGTGCAGTGTTTTCGATGTCAACTTAGCAGTAGTTTCATTTTATCATCTTTTCGGTCTGTTTCTTTCAATATGGAAGTCAATTACTTGTTTCTGAAAGTCTGGTCCGACCGACGGACTTGCGCACAACCTATTCTAAAGGCTATCTTAGGGTGCATTCCCAGAGATTTAGATCGATCCAGAGATTTAGATTTAGAACGACCTAACTCCCTGGGGGTTCAAGCTAAATAGCAGTCAGCCGAGCGCGCACCATAGTTAATTATCCCCTTACAACTTTTAGTAGGCGGCTAAGCTGACAGTAATCTAGTGAGACTCCCCACAGGGATAGATCGATCTCAAATCTATGGAAATGGGATCCTAGGATCACACTTACATGTATTTTGCAATGCATTGCAAAGGTGTAAAAGAGGTTAAATATACTAGTGCATAACGGTGTGATAATTGCATACAGAGGGGGTTTATTGGATAATTTCTACAGATAATCAATGCAAGTTAAGAGCAAGTTAACAATTAATTATACAACTTTACACTGATTGTAATTAATTATATCAGATTTATTTTTTAATCTTCAGTTAAAACTGTAGTTTTGTTCAAAACTGTAAGCATATTTTATGAATATATTTTTCACTATATGCAACATCTAATGAATTTTTTTGTTTATTTCTATATTAATGTTTGATAATATCAAAATCTATTTAATCTTTTTAATTGTGATTTTTGTAATGTGGGAATTAATGCGGAGTCACTTATGTCGCAATATTTAACGAACATATAGATTGGCGCATTAAGAAGAAATCATAAAGATACATAGCATACTTGAGAAAACGTAGATTTATGCTTTTCTATTTTAATAATTTAAAAATTATCTTTCGTACTTAGAATAACAG